TTAATGCTAAAGGAGCCCTAGGAAGCCCATGAATACTGATAAACAGACCCTCAGGGCAAGGCGTGGGGGTGCATCTTTCTCTGTAGGTCTCCCCAGAACCTGTCCTTTCGGGTGTTACTGATCTTGACATTATTATTATTATCATCATTTCGAGACGGAGTTTCGCTCTTGTCGCCCAGGCTGGAGTGCAATGGCGCGATCTCGGCTCACCGCAACCTCCGCCTCCTGGGTTCAGGCAATTCTCCTGCCTCAGCCTCCTGAGGAGCTGGGATTACAGGCACGCGCCACCGTGCCCAGCTAGCTTTTTTTTTTTTTGTATTTTTAGTAGAGACGGGGTTTTACCATGTTGACCAGGATGGTCTCGATCTCTTGACCTCGTGATCCACCTCCCTCGGCCTCCCAAAGTGCTGCGATTACAGGCTTGAGCCACCTCGCCCGGCCAGTCTTAAAATTATTTTTGTAATAGGATCTGTCGCCCAGGCTGGAGTGCCGTGGTGTGATCTCTGCTCACTGCAACCTCTGCCTCCTGGGCTGAAGTGATTCTCCTGCTTCAGGCTCCTGAGTAGCTTAGATTACAGGCGTGAGCCACCACGCCCCACTCAAATTTTGTATTTTTTCGTCAAGGTGGGGTCTGGGTGTGTTGCCCCAGGCTGGTGGTCCCTTTGAGAACACTTTTTCCTCCAGCTTTGGGCCTCCGCCTCAGGCAGTGTGGTTGGGCCTGAGGTGCTTTGGGGGCCCCAGGGGAGTCCTGCAGGGGAAGACTGCGAGAATGGTGTGGCCCTGGGTGGCCTTTTTCCTGGAGGATCCTGATGTTTGAGAGCTCTTCTGGTCCCCATTTTCACTGAGCCCCCCTCTTCCTGCCTTGCAGGCAGAAAGGATGAAATCCTGGCCCTGGGAGGTCCAAATAGCAGTTCGGAGCGGAGGTGGCTCTGCCCCCAGGGGACACCTGGTGGCGTCAGGAGACCTTTGCGGTTGTCACCCCGGGGTGGGGGAAGCCCAGGGATGTTGCTCAGCACCCACAGCGCTGGGGACAGCCCCGCCACCCAGGGCGGGCGTCAGATAGAGTCACGAGAGCTGTGGCTTCCGCCGTCACGGGTGTCACTCGGAGTTTGGGTCGATGTCGCTGGGGTCAGCCCGCCTTTATTTCCTGAGTGCTTCTTGGGACCCTGGCCAAGATCCAGGCTTGCTCCCTGCAGTCCCCGCCCACTGTGTCGCCCTGAAGAAAGGACCTGAGGCCAAGTTCATGGACTACAGCTCTGGATACCCAAATTCAGGTTCCCGGATCATACGTGCAGCAGCTGCCAGTGGGGGCTTCCCCGAGAAAAGAAGGGGCAGCTTCTGTATGGGAATGGCAGGAGTGATGGCCGGCGCCCTGTCCTTCCTGGCATCTCACCCTCCGGGACGTGAAGATAACAGACTTCACGTTGTGCAAACGGTGATAACCTTGTAGGTAATTCGTCAGCTAGCATGGAAACTGCAGGGTAGGAAAGAAGCAGCACACCTCTGCGGGCCGGTGGCGGGGCTGGCGGGGCTGGCGGGGCTGGCGGGGCTGGCGGGGACTGGCGGGGGTGGCGGGGCTCACTCGAAGGCTCTCCGGGCCTGTTGAGTTCTGCACGTCACGCAGCTCCCACTGCTCGGAGCCACTTTTCTTTCTCAGTTTTATTTTTTGGGGACAGGGTCTCAGTCTTTTTTGCCCAGGCTGGAGCGTGGGGGCACAATCTTGGCTCACTACAACCCCTGCTTTCGGGTTCAGGCCGTTCTCCTGCCTCAGCCTCCCGAGTAGTGCACCCGGCCTCTTTCCCAGTCTGTTTCCACAGGCATGTGCTGACTGGCTGTGTTTGCATCCTGCCCTCCAGCAGGAGAGACAGACGCTCTGGCCAGGGCTTAGAGGCGGCCTTGCTGGAGAGGGCTTCGGGGAGTGAAGGGGTGCAGGGCAGCGTGCTGCACCCAGTCAGGGGCGCTGCAGTGGCTGGGCTTTTGCTTTTCCTTTTTTTTCCCTGAAATAACAGCCTTTTGCAACAATTCACATATCAGAGTCCACCCGTTTTAAGTGTGCATCTCAGTGGTTTTTAGTATATCCAGTTTGTACACTTAGCACTACCATCTCATTCCAGAACATTCTCATCACCTCTAAAGGAAGTGCTGCCCGCCCCAGCAGTCAGTCCCCGTCTCCCCTCGGGCCCCTGGTGCATTTGCCCTTTGAGGAGGCCACGAGTCTGGTGCTTTCCTCCCTCCGCACTCCTTAGCCTCAGGCTAGAGGGTCGGTGGCTCTCGAGGGCGAGAAGAGTTCTGGCCAGTGCGTCCAGCCTCCCTCTTGTGACGCTTTGCTGCTGGAAAAAGAGGGTGCTGATGCAGACCCCAAGAGAGGCTAGAACTCGGGGTGGGCTGCAGATCATGGCGAGAGCAGCAGGTTTATAAGAAGCCACGAAGCTGCTCCCTTACAGAGTGGGGTGTCCTCAGGGAGCAGGAGGAGGGTGCCTGCTCTTCCTTCGCGTCTCTGTGCGTGAGAAACGGCTGGGGCTGTGGTTCAGTCTGGAACATGTCTGTACATGCTCACAAGAGGCCAGCGGGGTGGCGCATCTGACCCCCTCAGCCCAGCCTGCCCACCAGCCCTCAGTACAGTGGGCACAGTTCCAAGGTCTGCCCCGGAGAGTCTCCTAGAGCCGTAGATGCTCTGTGGTCGTCCTCATGTTGGCTTAGAATGTGACTCCTAAGCGTGACCCTTCCAGGTGCATTGCGGGTGCCTAGCTACGTACTCTATAAGATGGAGTCACTCTGGTCATGCTTTATTAAACCAGTGGCCTGGGCGGCCTCGCCCCTCCGGAGCACCTCCAGGATTGAGTTGCTTTGCATGTTTACAGGCGGCTCCGGTGGTTGCTGGGCAGCTCAGGCGGGCGGTTTGTTTGTTCGACACGAGCTTTCTGTCGCCCAGGATGGAGTATTGGAATGTGGTGGTGTGATCACTTACTGCAACCGTGAACACCCTGGGTCAGGCGATCCTCCCACCTCAGCGTGCGGCTGTGCCCAGCTGGCTGGGGCTGTTGCAGGTGGGCTAGTTATTATTAAGTCGTATGAAGTCTTGTCAACCATCCTTGGTCTTAGCTCTGTCGCTTGGAGCTCTCGGGTGGCACTGTTCTGCCCAGGTCTGAGTCTCCTTTTCACACCGCCCTCTGTCCTGCAGACAGATGCTCAGCCAGGAAGCAGCATGCTCTGATGTCCGGGCCCAGCTCTGCTTGTGAATTAGCTTCGTGGACGGGCCGGCCCTGTGCGGACTTTAGGGTCAAGTCTAAACATGCTCTGTCACGTCAATCGCGGTGGCTCACGCCAGCATTTTGGGAGTCCAAGGTGGGTGGATCACCTGAGGTCAGGAGTTCGAGACCAGCCTGACCAACATGGAGAAACCCCCGTCTCTACCAAAAATATGAAGTTAGGTGGGCATGGTGGCGCGTGCCTGTATTCCTAGCTACTCAGTAGGCTGAGGCAGGAGAATCACTTGAACTCAGGAGGCGGAGGTTGCGGTGAGACGAGATCACACCACTGCACTCCAGCCTGGGCAACAACAGTGAAAGTTCTGTCTCAAAAAAAAAAAGGCTGGGTGCGGTTGCTCACTCCTGTAATCGCAGCACTTTGGGAGGCTAAGGCAGGTGGATCACCTGAGGTCAGGAGTTTGAGACCATCCTGGTCAATGTCACGAAACCCTGTCTCCACTAAAAAAAAAAAATGCAAAAATTAGCTGGGGGTGGTGGCGCATGCCTGTAATTCCAGCTACCCGGGGGCCAAGGCTGGAGAGTTGCTTGAACCCGGGAGGTGAAGGTTGCCTTGAGTCAAGGTTGCACCACTGCACTCCAGCCTGATGACAGAGTGAGACTCCCTTTCAAAAAAAAAAAAAAACCGGTCAGGCGCGGTGGCTCACACCTATAATCCCAGCACTTTGGGAGGCCGAGGCGGGTGGATCACGAGGTCAAGGGATCGAGACCATCCCGGTCAACATGGTGAAACCCCGTCTCTACTAAAAATACAAAACATTAGCTGGGCGTGTTGGCGCGTGCCTGTAATCCCAGCTACTCGGGAGGCGGAGGCAGGAGAATTGCCTGAACCCAGGAGGCGGAGGTTGCGGTGAGCCGAGATCGCGCCATTGCACTCCAGCCTGGGTAACAAGAGCGAAACTCCGTCTCAAAAAAAAAAAAACAACAAAAGTTTTTTGAAGAGACGGGGGATCTCAGTATGTTGTTGAGGCTGGATTACAGGCATGAGCTGCTGTATCTGGCCTCTTTTTAAATTTTTAAATGTTTTTATGTTTTTAGAGTTGAGATCTTGCCCTGTTGCCCAGGTTGGAGCTCGGAGGCGATGATGGTTCACTGCGGCCTTAAATTCCTGGGCTCCGGCCAGGCGCAGTGGCTCACGCCTATATTTCCAGCACTTTGGGAGGCTGAGGCTGGTGAATCACCTGAGGTCAGGAGTTCAAGACCATCCTGGCCAACACGGTGAAACCCCATCTTTACTAATAATACGAAACTTAGGTGGGCGTGGTGGCGCACATGTACGCCTCTAATCCCAGCTGCCTGAGAGGCTGAGGCAAGAGAATCGCTTGAACTTGGGAGGTGGAGGTTGCAGTGAGCAGAGATCGGGTTAATGCATTCTAGCCTGAGTGACAAGAGTGAAACATTGTCCAAAAAAAAAAAAAAAAAAACTGGCCAGGCGCGGTGGCTCATGCCTATAATCCCAGCACTTTGGGAGGCCGAGGCAGGTGGATCAAAAGGTCAAGAGATCGAGACCATCCTTGTCAACATGGTGAAACTCGTCTCTACTAAAAATACAAAAAATTAGCTGGGCATGGTGGCGCATGCCTGTAATCCCAGCTACTCGGGAGGCTGAGGCAGGAGAATTGCCTGAACCCAGGAGGCGGAGGTTGTGGTGAGCCGAGATCGCGCCATTGCACTCCAGCCTGGTTAAGGAGAGCGAGACTCCATCTCAAAAAAAAAAAAAAAAAAGGTTTTTCCCATGTGATTTGACTGCGTGGGTGGGTGCGAGTGTGCCTGGTTGTTTCCTGTATATTTTGCGCTCTGAACAGCTCCATCCCGCCAGCCGCATGTTGGGTGCTCTGAATGCCTCTCTGTGGGGTATTCTTCCTGCAGACCCCCTGTGTGCTGTGGGGTACTGCAGGGTTCATCCTGAAGCGCTGGGTTCTGGTGCGAGACCCAGAGGGCCGGCTTCCTCCCCTCTGGTCAGGGGCTGTGTCCGGAGGGTTGCCAGGCCTGCCCCCTCCCGTTGGGGTCCTGCTTCTGCCACAGTCAGGGCCCACGGCAGGGTTCCCGTCTCCCTCCTCAAGCTGGAACTCCAGCCTGCTGCGGTCCCTGTGGTTCCTAGCTCTACAGTGTCTTCCCCCATGATCACTGGACAGAGGGCCCCACCTCCCCTGGTTTTGGGGTTTTCTTGTCACAGGGAGTCGCTGTCTCAGAGTGGTGGCCGAGGGAGCTGCAGGTCTGGCTGAGAGTGTTTTTGGCTGTGGTTTGCGCGTCCTGAGGCTGCGCAGGTCGGAGGGCGCTGTGTGGGGGTCTGGCCGAGTTCCTCTTCCCACGATTCACAGCCAAGCACTTCTCACAGGTTCCGGGCTTTACTGGGGCAGAGAACGTTCCCGGGAGCTGATGAGTCACGGGTGTGAGGGCTGGGAACACTCTGATTTACTGGGTGTCACCTGTCCTGGCCTGCTCTCCTTGGCAGTGTAACATTATTTTGGGGGCCATGTAAGTGTTCTAAAAATGAGTGCCCTGCAGAAGTTGGCAGGCTGAGCTCGCCTCTAGTTGCTGTGAGCCGGGCCCTCTGCCCCGTTGCCTGTTCCACCTCGTTCCCTGTCATTCAGCTGGGGGAGCTGTTCTTATCAGGCAGTGCGCCCTGAGTTACGCCCCCGTCCCCTCCTTCCTTGTGCTGCCTCCTGTCCAGAGCTACCTTGTGGTGCGTGCTGCTGTGCGGACCAAGGGCTGGGGCCAGGGCTTTGTCTGCAGACTTTGCCCGAAGGCCTAGCGGTGACCTTCCCTCACACGGTGGGTGGGGAGGACCCCTGACTGAGAGTGCACGTCTAGGAAAAGGAGTCTTGGCCCCGAGGCCTTTCTAGCACAGGTGTGTTCCTGGAGGGCCCAGGGGACAGGCGGAGCAGGCCACAGAGCTTGGGTGTCCGTCCCAGGGCCCATGGCTAGAGCAGCAAGGTTGCCTCATATAGCCCTGGTGTGTGGGGCGGGAGCCTCTGTGTGGAAGAGCCCGGCGCTGGCTTCCAGCTCTGTTGGGGTTCTTTTATTTATTTTTGCTTTTTATTTTGAGACGGGGTATTGCTCTGTTCCAGTGGCCGTTCACAGGTTCGATCGCACTACTGATTGGCTCAGGAGTTTTGACCTGCTCCATTTCCAACCTGGATTGGGTCGGGTCACCCCTCCTTAGGCAACCTGGTGGTCCCCGGCTCCCGGGAGGTCACCACATTGATGCCAAACTCAGTGTGGACACCCGATCGGCATCGCACGGCAGCCCAGAGCTCCTGGGCTGAAGCAAACCTCCAGCCTCAAGCGGAGCTGGGACTACAGGCACATGCCCCCCCGGCCGGCCCGGCCTTTCCTTTTTCGAGGTGCAGTTTCGCCCTTGTTGCTGAGGCTGCAGTGCAGTGGCACAGTCTTGGCTCACTCACACTTCTACCTCCCAGGTTTAAGCGATCCTCCTGCCTCATCCTCCCGAGTAGCTGGGGTTGCAGGCTTGTGCCACCACACTTGGCTACTTTTGTATTCTTAGTAGAGATGGGGTTTCTCCATGTTGGTCAGGCTGGTCTCCAACTCCTGACCTCAGGATCCACCCACCTTAGCCTCCCAAAGAGCAGGGATTACAGGTGTGAGCCACCATGCCCGGCTTGTGTTGGAGTTCCTTAGCCACCTGTCAGCAAGGGGCCGCCTTTTCACTTTGCCTGGGCCCTTGACTTCCACTGCTCCCTCCTCACCCTCTCCTGCTCTGCTCTCCTCTCTGCCTTGCCCCGACTCCTGCCTCCTTCCTTTTCTTTTTATATCTTTTGAGACAGTGTCACTCTGCCGCCCAGATTGGAGGGGAAGTGGTGCAGTCTGGCCTCACTGTAAGCACTGCTTCCTGGGTTCAGGAGATTCTCCCGTCTCACCCACCACGTAGCTCACATCACAGGTGTGTGCCACCACATCTAGCTAAATTCTCTTTTTTTTTAGAGACGGAGGAGTTTTGCTCTTTTTTTTTTTTCTTTTTTCTTTTTTGAGACAGAGTCTTGCTCTGTCACCAGGCACCAGGCTGAGTGCAGTGGAGCGATCTCGGCTCACTGCGACCTCTGTCTCCCGGGTTCATGCAATTCTCCTGCCTCAGCCTCCCGAGTAGCTGGGACTACAGGCACACGCCACCAAACCCAGCTAAGTTTTGTATTTTTTAGTAGAGACGGGGTTTCACCATGTTGGCCAGGATGGTCTTGATCTCTTGACCTCGTGATCCACCCGCCTCGGCCTCCCAAAGTGCCGGGATTACAGGCATGAGCCCCTGTGCCCGGCTGGAGTTTTGCTCTTGTTGCCCAGGCTGGAGTGGAATGGTGTGATCTTGGCTCACTTCCAGCTCCACCTCTACCTCTCGGGCTCAAGCGATTCCCCTGCCTCAGCTTTCCAAGTAGCTGGGATTATAAGCGTGCACCACCATGCCTGGCTAATTTTGAATTTTTAGTAGGGGCAGGGTTTCTCCATGTTGGTCAGGCTGGTTTTGAATTCCTGAACTCAGGTGATCCACCTGCCTCAGCCTCCCATAATGTTGGGATTATAGACGTGAGTCACTGTGCCTGGCGTGTGTGTGTGGGTGTATGTGTGTGTGTTTGTGTGTTTTGTAGAGATGGGGTTTCGTCATGTCTTTGAGAGGCCAAGGTGGATAGCTCGCTTGAGGTCAGGATTTCAAGATCAGCCTGGCCAACGTGGTGAAACCTTGTCTCTACAAAAAAAAAGAAAAGAAAAACCAAAGAACACTTCACTTTGAAATGTTTTCTCTGAGACAGTTTCGCTCTTGTTACCCAGGCTGGAGTGCAATGGCGCGATCTCGGCTCACCGCAACCTCTGCCTCCTGGGTTCAAGCAATTCTCCTACCTCAGCCTCCTGAGCAGCTGGGATTACAGGCACGCGCCACCATGCCCAGCTAAATTTTTGTATTTTTAGTAAAGACAGGGTTTCACCATGTTGGTCTTGCTGGTCTTGAGCCTCCGACCTCAGGTGATCCGCCCTCCTTGGCTTCCCTAGGTGCTGGGATTACAGGCATGAGCCACTGTGCCCGGCCTGAAATGGTTTTAGACTTAAAACAATGTTGCAAACACCACACAGAGTGTTTTCACGTAGCCCGCTTCACCTTCTCACCGAGCCCTGATCCGAACCAGGAGGCATCCCCAACCCATCACTGCCATGAGCCCTCGCCTCTCCTGTCTCCCCCATCTTGGCTGGTCCTTTCCTGCATAAGGAAAGCTGGGCGTCTCCCATGGTCTGGACTTCGAAGGAGAGCCAGCCGGGGGCTCTGTGTGGCGCCCCTGAGTCGGGCTGGGCGTGTCAGGCTGAGGTTCTGCGTCCTGGCGGGAGCCCCACAGATGGGGCTGGGCCTTGGGAGGCTCGTGGCGTCTGCGTGTCTCACTGTGGTGACGCCGGCCTTGTGTTTTGTCAGGTGGCGTCCACAGGTGCCCCGTTGGTTGCTTATCTTCTGCTCTGGGAGAGGCACGCTGAGGCTGCGAGGCTGCCTGGGCCGCCTCTGACGGTTCCCGCGAACTGCGGCATCCTGCGGGGCGTACCGGCAGCTGTGATTACTACAGCGGTTGCCTGATGGTGATTTTTAAAAAAAGTGTTTATTTTTATAAAAAAGACATGTGCTCTTGCTGTTTCTTAGGCCGGTCCCGTGGAATCAGGCCCCATGGAGGCTCCATCACCTGCAGTCACGTACCGGGCCTTTGCAGAAGCAGGATTCCCAGCCAGGCTGGAGCTCCCAGGCTGGAGCGGTTCCTGGTGGGCCTGTGGAGCGTGTCCTCAGGGGCTCGGGGTGTGTGGAGGAGTCATCTGACCTCCAGGGAGAAGAGGGGGAGACACGTGGAGTGGAGCTTGGGGCGGCCGTTTGCTTAAGGGTGGGAGCTATAGACTCCACCCCAGGCCTGTCCCTGTTTGCTGCCTGTGGTAGGACACAGCGTGCCAGGAATAGGTCCCCGGCAAGGTCCGTGTTCCCCGTGTGGTCCAGGGTCTAGGAGTGCCTCTGGTGGTCCCAGCTGGGCGGTGGGCTTGAGAGCTACGCCAGTTGGGGAATGAGACGGGAAGTTGGCGGCGGCGCTGGTCCGGTAGGAAGTGGTGGGGTTGTGGGTGAAGGGTGGCTCTGCGCCGCTGACCTCCCCCTGTCTTCCAGGACAAGCATCACGACGCTGCTCATGAGATCATCGAGACCATCCGGTGAGTGGGGCCTCGTCTTTGGTTCTGTGGGCGCCCGTGGTCTGCACACTCTGGGGCGGCTCCCAAGGGGCAGGCTCCTGGAGGGGCTGCAAAGCAGAGTGTGGTGACCCAGGGTGGGCAGAGCTGCTCCTCCCAGCTCCCTTCCTGGCCGGTGGGTGTACAAGCCCTGAGTTGGGGAGTCCAGCGGGGCCTCCAGGGGCATTGCCCTGCCTTCTGCCTCCTTGTTAGTCTCTGCCCTGTGGGTTTTGGGCCGAGCTTCAGTCTCACGCGCCCTCAGTGGCCTCCTGGGTCTGTGTCCCATGGGTGCAGAGAGGTGCGTTCCAGGGTGACTTGGACGGGCAGGAGGAGGAGGCCACTCTGTCGTTGTGAGCTCCCAGCCTGGGTTCCAGAGTCTGCGGCGACAGCACAGGGAGGCCTTCCAGGGTGCCGCTCTGCTTCCCACTGGGAAGCTGCCCATGGTGGCTGGCATTCTGTGTGTCTCAGGTGCTCAGGGGCAGAACCCTCATTGTGTCCACCTGCGGGGAGGCCACATGTGTCCGTGGGGCCCTGGCATCTTGCTGGGTTGTTCCTTAGCATGCTCTGCTGTGAGGCTATTGCCCGTGCACACGCCCAGCATCTGCCCAGGACTGCAACTGCTAAGAGGGCCATGCCGAGCTTCTCCTGGCCTGTGGCTCTGTGCCAGGCCCCTGGCTCCCAGGCCCTGTGGTTCACTGTTGGGGCCGGGCAGCATCCCCGGGCCGAGTCGTTGGAGGGTTAAGTGGAAGCATTTTTGTGGGTCGGCCAGACTGGGCCTCACCCGGGTCTGTACTTCCAGTGTGGGGTCTGCTTTGTTTAAATGTCATCCTCTGTGGACCAGGCAGTGGAGTAGGGGCCCCTTTGTTCTTTGTAAAAGAAGCCTGGTGTTGTGGTAGGAGGGAGGGCTCTGTATCAGGCAACTGGGCCTCAGCCCAGCCCCAGCCCAGCGGTAGTGTGCTCCTGGGAGCCGACTGCCTTCCTGTGCCTGGGCTTCTGTTGTCTGCATTCAGGGGCCGAGATTGTGCTGGCCAGTTGCTGTCCTGTGCGTTTTCCATGCCTGCCCACGCCAGGCTGCTCAGATCTCTGTCCTGGTTCCTTGGGTGCATTGCAGTGACTCATTTTAGAGTGAAGCAGCTTTTCCTCCCTGGGAGGTGCTGCATGAGGTTGTGAGGTGCCGCTGTGCAGTTTCCTCATGTTTTTAAGGGATTGTGGGGTGTGTTTGTAAGGGATATTGGTCTGCTGTTTCTTTTCTTGTCTTGACTTTCTTTCTAGTCCTTTGTGTGTCTGTGGTTTTAGGGTCAGGGTGATGCTGACTGCATGAAACTCTGAAGAAGTTTGTGTAGCTTTAGTGTTTTATCTTGTCAGTGTTTGAGAGAACTCACCAGTGAAGCCATCGGGGCCTGGAGCCATCTTTGTGGGAAGTAAAATCTTTCGCAGGTGTACAGCGTTTGGAGATGCCGTTTCTTCCTGTGTCAGTTTTGGTTTGGTAATTTGTGTCCTTCAGCTCTTGGGATGTGTTCATCTCAGTGAGGCCATTGGATTTACTGGCACACCCCCCCTCCCTCCTCTGTTGAGTCTTGCTCTGTTGCCCAGGCTGGAGTACAGCGGCGCTATGTCAGCTCATTGCAACCTCCACCTTTCAGGTGCAAACGATTCTTTTGCCTCAGCCTTCCGAGTAGCTGGGACTACAGGCGTGTGCCGCCATGCCTGGCTCATTTTTGGGTTTTGTTGGCCAGGCCTGCCTTGAACTCCTGACTGCAAGTGAGCCGCCCCTCTCAGCCTTTCAGAGCGCTGGTGCTACAGGCCTGGCCCGATGTTCTTGGCGTCACTGCCTGTAAGTTCTGTGGGACAGCGCCCCTTTCATGTCGTTTTCGGTGTGGTGTCGGGATCCCAGCGCTGTGGTGGGCTGGTACGTTTCCGTCTCAGCTTGTAGCCCCCTCTGGCTCCCTTTCCTGGTGGTGTCTGTTGATGAAGCTCTGTCTATTTCGGGATTAGTTAATTCTTCAAATTACAGTTGTCTTCAGCTTTTTGTCAGTCAGTTGCTTTTCAAACTCTGATGTGGCCAGTGGCTTCCTAGACCAGCGCTGTAGCATGTGAGTTCACTTAGCTCCCCAGAGCCACCCGTATGTGACCTTGAAGCCATGTAAAATCTGCGTGACTCATTAACAGCTTCACGGTCAACATCGTAGCCTTTGTTTTGAAGTCACGCCTCCTTTCTCTCCACTCAGTGGAGTGGTGGGGATGTTTTTTTTCTGTTCGAGAGGACGCATTGCTTAAGAGCAGACGTGGGCCGGGCGCGGTGGCTCACACTTGTAATCCCAGCACTTTAGGAGGCCGTGGTGGGCAGATCATGAGGTCAGGAGTTCGAGACCAGCCTGGCCAACACAATGAAACCCTGTCTCTACTAAAAAATGTAAAAATTAGCTGGGTGTGGTGGCACGCACCTGTAGTCCCAGCTACTCGGGAGGCTGAGGCAGGAGAATCACTTGAACCCAGGAGGTGGAGGTTTCAGTGAGCTGAGATGGCAACACGGCACTCTAGTGGGGTGACAGAGCGAGACTGTCCCAAACAAGCACACCCCTCATGATTGTTTCTGCTGCTGTGTTTCAGATGGGTCTGTGAGGAAATCCCGGATCTCAAGCTCGCTATGGAGAATTACGTTTTAATCGACTATGACACCAAAAGGTAAGCAGAGTCCTGCCCGGCTGCTCCTCTCCCAGGACAGGCTCGGCTGCTGGGGAGGGCGGGACAGCGCAGCCTATAATTAGCTCTTCTTAGATGCTGCAAGCTGATCTGAAATTTCCTTTTCGAGTTGGCTGTGGCCGCCATCGAGTTATTTTGGTAGGAAATGTTTATCAACTCTTGGCAAAGGCTGTCAGAGCCAGGACAGAATTGGAAACTCTGGTTGTGGAAAGTGGAACTGGCTTGGAGTCAGCCCGCGCGTTAGTAAGCGCTCTTTTTATAGCCGGGGGCTGACGGCCAGAAGTCCGTGTTCCTGCCTGGGGCCGTGCCGCTGGCCAGGCCTGGGCGGCCTTAGGCTCCTTGGCAGCTCTGTTTGGATCTCAGTTGGGTGTCCCTGTGTCTCCAGCCCTGTGGCCGCCTAGCAGTTGTTAGCAGTGCTCCCTGGTGGCTCCTGGGTCTTTGAGGAGGGTCTTGTGGGTGGAGAGGGGCAGGGCTGTCTCTGGAATGCTGGCTGGGAAGTGCTTTGTTTTTCTTTGAGTAGGAAGACATTCCAGGCTGAGCCTTTTTCAGCTCTTGGGAGGGCTGAAATCAACAGCGTTGTCCTCCCTCCAGAGCTCTGCTATCCTGAACTAAGTGAGCCGCTGTCTCCACCAAGAGTCAAGCCCAGGGCCCTTGACGCCATCCAGGGCTGAGCAGCTCTGCTTGCCCTCTGGCCTCACAGGCGTGTGGGAGGGACTCCGTTGTCTGCTGTCAGAGTCTCAGCCCCAGTAAACCTGGAGATCCTGTGCCTCTCCCTCGAGCCCTGCCTGTTCCCTGCTCAGCACTCTGCTGCCCCACGAGCAGAGAAGCGCCTTGTGCTCACTTGTGGCTCAGCTGCTGGCACAGGTCCTCCTTACCGACCCGCTGCTGTGGACGTTACGCCACTTGCCCTGCACGTGGGGACTCTGTGACCCCTCATCAGGCGTGATGGTGTGCTGGGCTCTTCCTGGTGTGGTATAAGGTGCAATGAAGCATGCAGGTGAACAGCCAGCCACGCGGCAGGGTGCACAGAGGGGTCTGCAGCGCCACACGGCACTGTCTCCGGGGAGGCTAGGTGCAGCAGCCCGGAAGCCTCCGCATCCTGTCCCGGGTTTCACGCGAGCTTCTCGGAGCCTGGTTGATGGTCGCCTCCATCTCCGGTTCCCTCTCTAAGCTTCTTACCAAGCTTGGGCTTTACCCCACCCAGGGGCGGCCCCCACAAGTTGCCTCCTTAGAACAGAAGATGCTCCTGTCACCTAGGAGTTCCCAGGAATCAGGAGCTCTGTCAGGACCTGGAGACCCCTCGGGTGGGTAGTGTCCGGGCTGACCCCTTTGCTAGTAACTGAGGGGCGGTTGTGCCATGCCTCACTCGTGTGTGGCCTGTGCCTGGGCTCTGAGAAGCGAGTGTGTCAGACACTGTGCTCAGGGCGCCCCGGCACGTGCGTGTGTGACGTCCTTCCCCTTCGCAAGGCTAAAAAGACAGCAGGGACTGGCCGGGCGGTGGGCGGTCCTCATTCTCTCTCCATGCCCCTGAGATGCTGGCAGGGGCACCTGAGGGACCGAGCCATTAGGGCATCAGGCCAAGGGCAGCCCCAGTTCCACCTGCACCTGCATTTGCACCTCCTGCCAGGACGTGTCTCTTCCAGGGAGTGCCCAGAGGTGTTTGGGGAGGGGTCTGGTTGTCGCTGAAGGTGAGTGTGGAAGTTAGCGGCCGGCAGTTCTCCTGGGGCCGTGGGGAAGGTGGGAGGCACCGGGCCGGCTCTGCCACTTCATCTCTCTCCTTCCCGAGGCTGGAGGCAGGCCCCGGCCAGATGCTGCTCACAGACCCAGGCCCATGCTGCCTGCTGGCCCATCAGTCCGCCTGGGCTGCCTTCGCCCTGTGTCCTTCGTGCTCTGTGTGCGGCTGTGCTCCCCAGGCCTGTCGCAGGGTCTTGTTCTTGGCGTTTGCTGCCCTTAAGTTCTCTTGCTTTATCCTCTGAGCTGCTGGGTAAGGAAAGCATGAACTCAGCCCTGGTGCTCGGGTTTTTCTGTGTGGAAGGCAGCGTGTGAACCTCAGACACATGCAGTGCCCGGCTTCAGGGCGGCCAGGGTCGGCAGGAAGAGCATAGGGCTGGGGCTGGGGCGGGAGGAGGTGGAGGAAAGAGCCCCCAGCCCCAGCCTCCCACAGCTGCAGAACCCTGGAGTGGGGGTCAGGTCGTTCTCCGGGAGGGCCATCCTGGGCACTGCAGGTGCCGGGCAGTCCCTGCCGCCATCTGTTGCTTGCCCCGCCGCATTCCTGGGGTCCCTGGTTAGAAGCACCGTGTTTGACTGTTTCTGGGAGAGGCCACCCTCCTCCTCCTGTCTCTCAGTCTGCTCTGGCGCCTTGTGAGGAGGTGGAATGGACGCTGTTGCCCTCGTTTTGCCGATGGGCCTCACAGCCTAGGAAACTGAGCAAGTAACTAGGTCCAGACCAGACAGACTGGGCTGGGCAGACCCAACCCGGAAGCCCCCCGAGCCCAGGCCTGTCTGGGCCGCGTGGCCCACCTTTCCTATGGCTCACGTGCCCCACGGACAGTGGGCACTCCCTGCTGCCGGGTGGGCTCTGCCCTGGAGGGCTGTTGGGCACATGCACTTAGGTAGTGAAGGCTGGCCCTGCGACCCAGGCTTGGGGCAGAGCTGCTGCTGGCGGGGGCGGGGGCTGAGTCTCACTGTGGTCCCTGCTGTGCCGTGTCTGACGTGACCCACTGCTGAAGCGTGAAAGAGTTGAGGCTTCAGAGGGACACACACACACAGCAGTGTGGGCGGGGTGGGGGGCACCGACCTTTCTTTAGTGCTCCCTCCTCCTGCACCTGCCCAGGCAGAGGCCTGCTGGTCCCCAGGACTTCGGCCGTTCCTCTGCCTCTAGTGCGGGTGGCTCTCCCCAGCCAGGGGAAGGAAGACCCTGTAAGGCCAGGCCCAGTGGTTCCCACTCTGGGAGGCTTGCCTTGGGCCCCCTCGAGCCCTCTTCCTCTCCTCACGCCTCCAGCTCACCTGGACCTGGGCTTTGCGCGGGCACCTGGGCGGGTACAGCTGCCTCGGGGTCCAGTGCTTCCTTGCACCAGACTCTGGGGGTCCCCTTGCCTGTGCCCAGACCTGAGGTCCCCTGCATCGGGCCAGAAAGCCAGGCTTCTGCTGGAGGAGTCTGGGCCAGCTGGCTGTTGGGCGGGGACCACACCTCAGAGCCTGCCCTGTCCGCGTGCCATCCCCTCTGTGCGTTCAGCTGGTTCTGGCCCGTATGATCAGGCCCTTCTCTTGCCTTTTTCAGCTTTGAGAGCATGCAGAGGCTCTGTGACAAGTACAACCGTGCCATCGACAGCATCCACCAGCTGGTAAGTGGCTCCCACACCCTTGACGTCATCACTTAGGGGCACAGGGCTCCCCCTTAGAGCCCTCGGGCATTGGAACGTGCAGCGTGGGGGCCTATGGCCTGTGGGTGACGGGGGCGATGCTGAGGCCGGGCTGTGGCCATGTGCCATCGCAGAGCCGTCTATGGTTTGTGTGCTGAGGCAGGGTCCTGAGGCTGTGATGTCCACACACGCCTCTGCGCCCCTGGGCAGTCCCCGAGGGCCCCAGCAGAGGCCGGGTCCCTATCCTCCCTGGGCTGTGTGAATGCGGCCTTCCCCTTTTACCTCCCCCCTCCCCCACGCTGCCCGCCTTCCTCAGGTTGGATGTGCCCTGGGGCTCCCTGGTCCTGCCATGTCTTACGAAGCTTTCCTCACAAAGGACGGGGACACAGCCAGTTGGGGTGCCACTTGCCATGTTCTAGAAAGTGCTGTGGTCCCTGGTGTGTGAGGGCAGGGAGCTCTTGAAGGCCTTGCAGTGGAGGGAGGCCCTGGTGGGGACGGCGGCTTCACTGGGCCCTCCATTGGGAAAGGGGCTGGGGCTCGGCCTGTGGCCAGGTGGTTCATGTGGCGTGGCCGGCCACCCCGCAGTGGAAGGGTACCACGCAGCCCATGAAGCTGAACACGCGGCCATCCACTGGGCTCCTGCGCCACATCCTGCAGCAGGTCTACAACCACTCGGTGACCGACCCTGAGAAGCTCAACAACTACGAGCCCTTCTCCCCCGAGGTGTACGGGGAGACCTCCTTTGACCTGGTGGCCCAGATGATCGACGAGATCAAGATGACCGACGACGACCTGTTTGTGGACCTGGGGAGCGGTGAGTGTCGCCTGCCACGTGCTCAGCCCAGTGCTCTGTGCCTGCCCCATGCCTGCTTGGAGAAGAGTTGAACAGGGTCTGGCGATGCTGGCGTAGACGGCGCTTCCTTCCCCACCCCTCTGCCCCGCTGCGGGTGCATTCCTTTCCCCGGCCCTGACCTTCCCGGAGCCCGGGTTCCACCCAGAGGGGAGAAATCTCAGGAACCCAGCGGTTCCCAGACTGTACCCCTTCTTCCAGGTGCCTGGAGACTGCTTTTCCCCTGCTCCCCACCAGCACCCTCTGCACTCACTCCCAGGAGCTGTGCTCTTTAGCCTGGGCCTCAGCGCGGTCCCCCACCCACGCCTGCAGCCTGCAGCCCTCCCCAGGCACATCTGCTCCCTCCACAGCAACTGGAAAGGTCCCGTGCAGAGGAATACCCCAGGTCCCTGGGGCTCCTGGAGGGCCTTGTGCCCTCCCTGCATCCCCAGTCTCCCTCGTTACCCCTGCGTCTGGGCCATGTCCTGCCCCTCCCAGGTTGGGGCTCAGGGTGGTCTCGGCAAGTCCCCACAGGCCACCTCCCAGCTCCCGGCGTTGTTTCAGCCTCTCCCTGCGCTCAGAGTCTGACTCTGCTTGTGAGGTGTCGTCCCCTCTCGAAGCACAGTGGGGCCCCTTGAGGCAGGGCCCTAGGTGTGGGTTCATGGCTCTGTCTTCCCGAATGAGGCACAGGTGAGCGGTCAGCACATGAACAGCCACGTTACCTGATTCATTTCTTTCTTTTTTTTTTTGAGATGGAGTCTCACTTTGTCACCCAGGCTGGAGTGCCATGCCTCGATCTCAGCTCACTGCAACCTCTGCCTCCTGAGTTCAAGTGATTCTCCTGCCTCAACCTCCCGAGTAGCTGCGACTACAGGCGCACGCCACCACGCCTGGCTAACCTTTTTTTTCATTAGAGATGGGGGTTTTGCCGTGTTAGCCAGGATGGTCTCGATCTCCTGACCTTGTGATCCGCCCATCTTAGCCTCCCAAAGTGCTGGGATTACAGGCGTGAGCCCCCGTGCCCGGCTAGCCTGATTAATTTCTGATAGGACCACCCTATCCAGGCCGCAGGGCTGACTGGGCCACCAGCTGTCAAGGGTCAGACGGTGGAGGCTCCTTCTCCGTAGTGTCTAGGCTGTCTCTGGGCCCCTTGATCCTCAGTGGACAGGTAACCTGCGCCTGTGGTGTGTGAGCCCCGCTTCCAACAGTCCTGGCTCTGATGTAGTGGAGGGGGGCCCTGAGGGCAGGGACTAAGAGGGCTTTGCATAAACCAGGCATGGTGGCTCACGCCTGTAATCTTAGCACTTAGAAGGCTGAGATGGAAGGATCGCTTGAGGCCAGGAGTTCAAGACCCACCTGTTCAGCAAAGCAAGACTGCCGTCTCTGTCTGTCTGTCTGACAGAGTCTCGTTCTGTCACCAGTCTGGAATGCACTGGTGTGATCTCGGCTCACCGCACCCTCTGCCTCCCGGGTTCAAGCGATTCTCCTGCCTCAGCCTCCCGAGTAGCTGGGACTACAGGTGTGCCCCACCACGCCCAGCTAATTTTTGTATTTCTAGTAGAGAAGGGCTTTCACCATGTTGGCCGGATGGTCTCAATCTCTTGACCACGTGATCTGTCTGCCTCGGCCTCCCAAAGTGCTGGAATTACAGGCGTGAGCCACCGCGCCCGGTCTTTTTTTTTTTTAAGTTAAAAAAACTGCAGTGAAAATAATGCTTATTGGTTGGGTGCAGCGGCTCACACTTGTAATCCCAGCACTTTGGAAGGCTGAGGCAGGGGATCTCCTCACCTGAGGTCAGGAATTCGAGACCAGCGAGGCCAATATGGTGAAACCTAGTCTCTACTAAAAAGAAGAAAATTAGCGGGCTGTGGTGGCGGGTGCGTGTACCAGCTACGGGGAGGCTGAGGTATGAGAATGGCTTGAACCTGGGAGGCAGAGGTTACAGTGAGCTGAGATTGTGCCAGGTGGCTCCTGCGTGTAATCCCAGTGCTTTGGGAGGCTGAAGTCAGAGGGCCACTTGAGTCTGGTTCAAAACCAGTCTGGGTAACATACTGACACCCCATCTCTACTGCAAAGAACAAAAAATTAGCTGGGTGTGGTGGTGCCGGCCTGTGGTCGCAGCTGTTTGGGAGCTGAGGTGGGAGGATTGCTTGAGCCCAAGAGGTGGAGACTGCAGGAGCCAGGATCACACCCCTGCAGTTCAGCCTGGGCGACAGAAGCAGACCCTGTGTGAAAAAACAGAAAAAAAATTTAAAAAGCTCTTATGTTTTAGACGACGTCCTAGCACTCGTTGGCACAGCTCTGGCCTTCTCCCTGCGTGCCTCCCTTCCCGCTGGTGTGGTGCCCGTCTGTGCCTTCCTTCCCAGTGGTGTGGTGCCCATCTGTTTCTCCTTCCCGGTGTGGTGCCCGTCTGTGCCTCCTTCCCGCTGATGTGGTGCCCGTCTGTGCCTTCTTTCCCGCTGGTGTGGTGCCCGTCTGTTTCTCCGTCCCGCTGGTGTGGTGCCCATATGTGTCTCCTTCCCGCTGGTGTGGTGCCCGTCTGTTTCTCCTTCCCGCTGGTGTGCCCATCTGTGTCTCCTTCCCGTTGGTGTGGTGCCCGTCTGTTTCTCCCTTCCCACTGGTGTGGTGCCCGTCTTTTTCCCTTCCCACTGGTGTGGTGCCCGTCTGTGTCTCCTTCCCGCTGGTGTGGTGCCCATTCGTGTCTCCTTCCCGCTGGTGTGGTGCCCGTCTGTGCCTCCCTTCCCGCTGGTGTGGCGCCCGTCTGTGCCTCCCTTCCCACTGGTGTGGTGCCCGTCTGTTTCTCCCTTCCCACTGGTGTGGTGCCCGTCTTTTTCCCTTCCCACTGGTGTGGTGCCCGTCTGTGTCTCCTTCCCGCTGGTGTGGTGCCCATTCGTGTCTCCTTCCCGCTGGTGTGGTGCCCGTCTGTGCCTCCCTTCCCGCTGGTGTGGCGCCCGTCTGTGCCTCCCTTCCCACTGGTGTGGTGCCCGTCTGTTTCTCCCTTCCCACTGGTGTGGTGCCCGTCTTTTTCCCTTCCCACTGGTGTGGTGCCCGTCTGTGCCTCCCTTCCCGCTGGTGTGGTGCCCGTCTCTTTCTCCCTTCCCGCTGGTGTGGTGCCCGTCTGTGCCTCCCTTCCCGCTGGTGTGGTGCCCGTCTCTTCCTCCCTTCCTGCTGTTTTGCTAGTGGCGGTCTGTGCCTACCGTGGTTATACCGTGGTTATACCGTGGTTCATTCCCAGTCTGGAGCACAGAGCTGCTTAGCAGGGGAGGAGAGGGGTCTTGATGCTCCCGGTATGTGCAGCTACCACCGCCTTCCTATTGCTGGTACATCTACAGCCCCAGTTCCCTCCTCCCTCAGAGCCGGGTACCGCACTGTGCACTGAGGCTGTGAAACCGCAGTGGCCGGGAGGCTGGCCTGGCTGCAGGTGGCTCCTCACTGCCTCTCCCACCCACATGCCGGGAGGCTGGCCTGGCTGCAGGGGGCTCCTCACTGCCTCTCCCACCCACATGCCGGGAGGCTGGCCTGGCTGCAGGGGGCTCCTCACTGCCTCTCCCACCCACATGCCGGGAGGCTGGCCTGGCTGCAGGGGGCTCCTCACTGCCTCTCCCACCCACATGCCGGGAGGCTGGCCTGGCTGCAGGTGGCTCCTCACTGCCTCTCCCACCCACATGCCGGGAGGCTGGCCTGGCTGCAGGGGGCTCCTCACTGCCTCTCCCACCCACATGCCGGGAGGCTGGCCTGGCTGCAGGTGGCTCCTCACTGCCTCTCCCACCCACATGCCGGGAGGCTGGCCTGGCTGCAGGGGGCTCCTCACTGCCTCTCCCACCCACATGCCGGGAGGCTGGCCTGGCTGCAGGGGGCTCCTCACTGCCTCTCCCACCCACATGCCGGGAGGCTGGCCTGGCTGCAGGGGGCTCCTCACTGCCTCTCCCACCCATATTGAGCCTCAGATCCCGCTCATTAGCCTTCCTGGGCACCGTCAGGTTTCGTCAGCCACGTTGCTGTGTGTCTCTGTGGTGGTGACGCAAGGATGATTTGGGGTGGACAGGAGCCTTTCCAGACCTGCCGAGTCTGACAGCCCTGTCTGTCTGAACAGTGAACCCCACATGGGGCCCTTAGACTCAAAATGGAATCTGGTTCTGGAGGCCACCAACTCATGTTCGTGGATCATGTGTCTTGATGGCTGTCCGCTCGTGGGGGCTCCGCTTGGGGCCTGGTCTTTGTGACATATCCTAAGTGACCTCAGAGCATCGCATATGTGGGGAGACCTGTGGCCTCCCCTGTGGGTCTCCGTGGCCATAATTTTGTGGCCTGTGTCCCTGAGCTGGCATGGCCTCCCAGATGATGTCTGAGCGTGTGTGGTATCTGATGGATCTCTCTGATCACAGGTGTGGGCCAGGTTGTGCTCCAGGTCGCCGCTGCCACCAACTGCAAGCATCACTATGGTGTCGAGAAAGCAGACATCCCGGCCAAGTATGCGGAGGTGAGCGGGGCCGCGGGCCGGGCTGTGTTGGGGGCAGGGGACTCTCAGAGAAGGTGACGCCCTGGGTGCCTGCACCCACTGCTGTGGGGCTTCCGAGTCTGGGTGGCATTCTTTCCAGGCCCGAGATGTCTGGGCTGCCTGCAGGGTGTGCCTGTGAGTGCAGTGCCCAGGCACTCTCGTGGCCCATCCTAGGCCTGCCCTAGCGCCGTGGGGGTGTCTCCCAGCCTGTTTCACGCTGCACGCCACCAGTGAGGCAGGAGGTGCTTAGCTCCACCTCGTGGCACAGCCGAGAAGCGCCTGGGGTGGTTGGGGTGCCAGCGCGGGCGGACACGTTGAGGGAGGCCCCGCTGCCCTGAGAGTTTGTAACGGGTGTTTGGTTTCTTTCCTTCCAGACCATGGACCGCGAGTTCAGGAAGTGGATGAAATGGTATGGAAAAAAGCATGCAGAATACACAGTGAGTGCCATCGCTCCGCCCCGCTCCCATCACTGCCCGCCCCTTTCAGCCCCTCCTTTCTGAACGCTGTTGGCACGTGGTTGTCGGCATGCGGTGCCCCCTGTGGAGTCCTCTCTGCTTGTCGTAGGGCTGCCTGGGCATGGCCTCTGAGCCGGCAGTGGGCACCTCTGTTGACACCATCCCTCCTGTCCTCTCTGACATGGCCTCTGTCCCTTGGCAGCCTGCGGTGCACAGAGGTGGTGCAGGAAACAGGCTTGGGGCTCTGGAGTGGAGGCCTGTGGGACCAGCCAGGTTGTAGGCCGGCTGCAGTGTCCTTGGGGTGTCATGCTTCACTGAGGACAGCCTTGTTTGGATGGGTTCCTGGTCCTCGGTGCCATATTCTTCATGACATGCCCGCGACCTTGGGGTGGGCAGTGTTCTCTCTGCCCTGTCACGATGCGCTTACCAAGGAAGCCGTTTCTCCCATGGATCGTGTGGATGGCACCTTCGTGGGGTTGGTCCCTGTGGGGTTTCTCCTGTGGATCCTGTGGATGGCGCCTGTGTGTGGCCAGTCTGTGTGGGGTTTCTCCTGTGGATCCTGTGGATGGCGCCTGTGTGTGGCCAGTCTGTGTGGGGTTTCTCCCGTGGATCCTGTGGATGGCGCCTGCGTGTAGCCGGTCCCTGTGGGGTTTCTTCCCGTGGATCCTGTAGATGGCGCCTGCGTGTGTCCGGTCCCTGTGGGGTTTCTCCCGTGGACCCTGCGGATGGTGCCCACATGTGGCCGGTCCCTGTGGAGTTTCTCCTGTGGATCCTGTGAATGGCGCCTGCGTGTGGCCGGTCCCTGTGGGGTTTCTCCCGTGGACCCTGCGGATGGTGCCCACATGTGGCCGGTCCCTGTGGAGTTTCTCCTGTGGATCCTGTGAATGGCGCCTGCGTGTGTCCGGTCCCTGTGGGGTTTCTCCTGTGGACCCTGCGGATGGTGCCCACATGTGGCCGGTCCCTGTGGGGTTTCTCCCGTGGATCCTGTGTAAGGCGCCTGCGTGTGGCCTGTCCCTGTGGGATTTCTCCCGTGGACCCTGCAGATGGTGCCCACATATGGCCGGTCCCTGTGGGGCATGTGCTCCTTGTTCTATGGCTGTCTGAGTGGCAGTGGGAAGGAGATGCTCTTTAGAGAGCAGGAAGGTTGGTTTTCCTCACGCGGCGGGTAATTACTGGGCCAGAGCTTCCAGGAGCAGCTGCCGCTCTTGTGTCGTCCTCAGACCTCTTCCCAGCCCATGCTGAGTCCTTAGACCCCAGGCTCCGCCCTGGACCTTTCCACACAGGGCTGTGCTTGCAGGACTGGCTGCTTCCTCCACCTGTGTTCTCTTCCTCCCGGTCCCAGTTGCTCAGTCACTTACCCGTGGTGTGGGCTGACAGCGCCCAACGTCCTGGCAACGCCCCAGACCTGCGGATTCCATCCCTGCCGCTCCCTCGTGCCGTATGGCTTGGTGCTGGTGCAGCTATTGGCGGCAGCTTGGCATCAGGGCTGTGGGAAGGAGGATGTTACCTGCTCTAGACCTGGAGCCCCTGAAGCACAGGGCGGCCCCCGAGCCTGCAGCCCCTCGAATCCCCAGAGGCCTCCCTGAGAAGGTGGAAGGAGTGCTGGGCAGGGCGGGCACCCGGTCACCCTGGGAGGACAATGGTGCAGGGGTTAAAGTGCCCACAGAGCAGCTCACGATGGATGGCAAGGCCGGATCCCAGGTGGCCCTGACCACTCAGTTCCCGGGTGGAATCTACAGGTTTGCAGAAGTAGCAGAATCAGGCTCCCCCGGGGTCCTGTTGTCATTCGATTCTCACAGTTCAGAGGGACGCCTGATGGACACGGGTGGCATACAGTTCCAGCCCCCTGCCAGGCAGGGCCGCCCAGTGTCTGCCTTTCTCCCGGGTGGGTGGAGGTGTGGCCGGGGCTGTGTGTCCGCCCCGCTCCCTCCTGCTCGGACCCCGTCGCGGGGGGTGGGGTGGGATGGGGGAGGGCGGGGAGGAGGTGGGAGAGTGGTTGCACCGTGGGAGGGGCGGCCCGGCCCCCTCACAGAGGGCCCCCACAGGGTGGGTGCCAGGAGGGGGGAGAGCGCGGCGACGGGTCGGCCCCGGGATTCGGTGAGTGCTGCTGCCAGGGGGCCTGTCTGCTGGGCCTCCCTCAGATCACTGTGAGGCCTTGGCATTCCTGCCATTACCACCAGCTCACAGGGAGGAGGAGGCACTGAGGGGTGAGTGGGTTTGCGTCCTGCCTAGCGTGTGCCTCGGCACCCAGCTCAGACCCTCCACACTATCCCTCAGCACAAGTGAAGGCCAGTCAGGGCACTGGGGCCTGATCCCTGGTGTCCCAGACCGGGATCAGGAGCCTTTGCCGGCTGGTCCTGCCCCGGGTTTACTGGCCGTGGTGGTCAGAGCAGATCCACCTGGGTGGGGAAACGGATGCATGGTCCAGGCGTGTCTGTTTTCCCGTGGGGCTGACACGGGCTCTGGTGGCAGGGACGCCGGGGTCAGGCAGTGTCCCTGTTTGCCTCCTCAGGGGAGTTGGTAGCTGGGAACTTTGTGTTTTAGGGGCAGGGCTCCCCCGTCCTCCAGGCTGTGTGATCGTAGTTTGTTGCAGCTGTGAACTCCTGGGCTCAATTGATCCTCCCACCTCATCCTCCCGAGTAGCTGGGACTGCAGCCATGTACCACCATACCTGGCTAATTAAAAAAAAAAATGGATCATGCCTGTAATCCCAGCACTTCAGGAGGCTGAGGCCAGGTGCACTGATGTCAGGTGGATCACAGAGATCGGGAACTCAAGACCAGCTTGGCTACCACGATGAAAGCCTGTCTCTACTAAAAATACAAAAACTGACTGGGCTTGGTGGTGCACGTCTGTAGTCCCAGCTACGTGGGAGGCTGAAGCAGGAGAATCATTTGAACCTGGGGAGTGGAGGCTACAGTGAGCCGAGATGGTGCCACGGCTCTCTGCCTTGGGCGATAGAAGCAGACTTCATCTCACACACACACACACACACACACACACACACACAAAACATACCGACGGAGTCTCACTGTGTTGGCCAGGTTGGCCTCCAACTCCTGGGTTCAAGCGATCCTCCTACCTTGGCCTCCTAAAGTGCTGGGATGACAGGCGTGAGTGTGCCTGGCTGTCCCTATGTCTTTTTGGGGCTTGACACCCTATCTCTTTTTACTGCTGAATAGTATTCCTTAGTCTGGGTGTGCCGCAGTTAATTCCCCCACTCACCTGCTGAGGACATCTTGGCTGCTCCCGTGATCGGGCGGTTATGAACGCCGCCGGAAACATGCGTGCGTCGGTTTCTGTGCGCACCTAAGAGCTGCACTCCTGTGGGTACAGAGCAAGCAGCACGATTGCTGGATCGTGTGGAAAAAGCCGCCAGACTGCCTCCCAGCGTGTCCACACCAGCTACGTCACCCCCAGCAGTGAACAAGGGTCCCTGCTGCCCCAGGTCTGGCCAGCGCCTGGGAGGTCCTCGATCCTTTATCTGAAGCCTTGCCGTGATGTGGGTCCTGGACTTCTTGTGGATTCCTGGGGGTTGTCTGCAAACGTGGACCACTCTGCCTTTTCCTTCACAGCTCATGTCCATCTCCTCCCCCTTTCCCATCCCCTCGTGCTGGCTGGCATTTCCCAGGCAATGTGAGTTGTGGGGGCAAGACGGTTACCCTTCCCTGCCCTGCTCCTGGTGGGCAGCTGAGCCCCTGGCCACGGAGCGCCATGGTAGTGGCGGGCTTGTGTGGACGGTCTTCGTGGGTGGGTGACAGGCCTCGACCCTGAGTTTGCGGTGTGTGTTGCTTTGGTGCTGTTTCTGGTTCGGCTTGGTGCCATGCTTTCCATTCCTCACCCGGTTGCTGTGATGGGTTTCATGTTGGCCCGGCCTCCCCGACCCCCGGATACGTCCCCTTCACTGGGCCTGCGATCCTGTGCATCCCAGGCGGGATTCCGCCGGCTGATGCTCTGCTGAGGGGTTTTCTGCCGGGGCCAGAGCCGTGGTCTGCAGTGTTCCCTCGTGGCCGCGCCTGGGTGCTTTGGTCCCAGGTGGCGCTCCCTTGGCTTCTGTTTCACTGTTTGTTGTTTTCAGTGGGACTTGCAGCCCCAGGGCTGTGGGCCCAGCTCTCCTTCCCTTTCTCATGGTGATTGTTCCGGAGTCCCTGCCCTCTGCAGAAGCTGTGTGGTGCCCTGGTCCCTGTGTCCGCCTGCACTCTGGTCGGAAGTTCCCACATGGGTTCCTGGCTGTGGCAGGAGAACCACGCAGATCCCGACACAGAGGATGAAGGCCCTCGCCACGGTTCCCGGTGCCTTCCTCTGCGAGGTCTGGCTGGGCTGTGCCTTGCTCAGGAGAGGATAGGTGTGAGATTGGTGGGGCCACCCGGCACTGCCCCCCTCTCCTGCCTCATCTTGTCATCGTTGCGGTCAGCGCCCCACCTGCTGGGTCCCGGGTCCTGGGTCCCCGACACGGCTGAGCAGTGCGTGTCTCGTGTGGTGCAGGAGCTGCCGGCGTGGAGCTGCTGTTGTGATCAGGATTCCATGCATGTTTAGGTGTGAATGGTCACGCCAGCTCCTGAGGTGTGCCAGGAGCGTGATTTGGGGGAAAGGATGGCATTCCTCATGGCTTGGGCAGCACTCGTCAACCTGGCGGTGCGGAAGGCAGGTGTCAGTGCCGGCCTCTGCCTCTGGCATCTGTCCTGCTGCGGAAGGTGGGTGGGAGAGGCTCTGCCTGACCGCTTTGTGCTCTTTCTGGTGGGCACTTCACTCTGATGTTGGAAGAAACCCTTGGAGCGGCTTGGCCGTGCTCTGCTTGGCGGGCTCCAGGTCCTCCTGCCTGAAGCACTGTCACAGGAAGGCTCCCGGAGACCCAGCTCCCCAGTTCCTGTGCGGGCTGTGGACTCCAGAGGGAAGCAGGGCTTGTGCGGAGCCACGGTGCCTGCAGGAGCAGCTTGGGCCCCAGACAGAGCCTCTGGTCATTGAGCGTGGGGGGTCCCAGGGCAGGTTTCTGGTCCCGGGCCTGCGACGTGGGCCTGGATCTGCTTGTTGCTGCTAAGGATTTGGAATTTGAATTATTTCCTGGGTAGCTGGTCCACGGGGAATGAGGGATGTTGAGAGGGTCAGTCTGTCAGCTGTGGAGAGAGAGGAGGCGGGCTTGGAGGGCGGTTCCGGAGGGCCAGCCTGTGCTCCTCTCATCCCATCCCCTCCCTCCTGGGGCTTCCCCGGCCCTGGAGAGTGGAGGATGTGCAGCTGCTCCTGGCCGGGGTGGGTGGCCCTGTCCTCCCAGCCTGGGGGGTGTCCTCTCTCTGGGCCTGGGTGGGTGGGCCACCCTGTTGCTCGGGGCAGTGGCTTGCTTGTGGGACCTTCTCTGCTCAAGGACTTTCTCCCTATCCTGAGAGACACTCTGTGGCTGCGGTGTAAAAAGGAGGGTCCCTCATCCTCCGTCAGCCCTTGGGCTCGGGCAGGGGCTTCTACCCTGACCCAGAGGCCCTCACCCCAACAACTCCAGTCCCCAGCAGGAATCCCCTTCCTGTCTCTGGGTGGGCCTGTCCTGGACAATTCACAGAAATGGGATCACACACTGTCCTCAAGGTACATCCGCGGTGTGGCCTGGACGGTGCCTGGCTCCTGTCCCAGTGTGTGGACGGCCGTTCGGTTCTGTGTTGATCTTTCAGCTGCCGATGGACAGTTGGCTGCTTCCCCCTTCGGGCTGTGGCCAGTGGTGTTGGCTTTTGCAGGATTTGTGTGCGGGCTTTTGCATGGACGTGTTTTTCTCTCTCCTGGGCGTGTTAACTGGGAATGGAGGTGGTTAGTGTCTTTGAAGGATTTAAAAAGAGGTGTCGAGGCCGGCGCGGTGTCTCACGCCTGTAATCCCAGCACTTTGGGAGGCCGAGGCGGGTGGATCACGAGGTCAAGAGATCGAGACCATCCTGGTCAACATGGTGAAACCCCGTCTCTACTAAAAATACAAAAATTAGCTGGGCACAGTGGTGCGTGCCTGTAATCCCAGCTACTCGGGAGGCTGAGGCAGGAGAATTGCCTGAACCCAGGAGGCGGAGGTTGCGGTGAGCCGAGATCGCGCCATTGCACTCCAGCCTGGGTAACAAGAGCGAAACTCCGTCTCAAAAAAAAAAAAAGGAGGTGTCTGGTTGTCTAGGTGCTACGACGTTGGACAGCTAGGTTGGTAAGAGCTGTTTTCTCCCGGATGGTGCTTGGTTTTGAGGTCTGGAGGTAGGGTGGCGTTGGGCTGCTGCTGGCCTTGCTGTGAGCGTGGCGTGGAGCTGTGGGGACAGCGCTGCTCTTACTGGGCCATCAGTGGTGCTCAGGGCAGATGCCCACGGGGACAGGTGGCTCAGCTTCCCCATGCCCGTGTTTCTTGTGGTTGGTGAGGAGGGACAGAGCTCGGTGAGGAGGGACAGAGCTCGGTGCGGGGCTTTCCTGGCCCGGCCGTGTTGCTACCTGCTGCAGAGGGTGCCCCCTAGCGCCCCCAGCACCCCCAGGCTCCCTCAGGCCCTGCCTGGAACCCAGCATGGTGGGGACTGCAGGCCCTGCCTCAGGGCGCCCCTGCTGGCCCCCTCCAGTCCTGCAGCCTCTGATTTGGAGGAGCCTACAGTGTGTGGCCTGTAGGTGTGTGTTGGTGTGGCCGCGGTCACCTTTGCCGGGCCTGGCTTCCCTGAATGGATGCTGGAGCACGGGGACCTGTCCCAGCTTCTCGGGAGGTCCTGCCTGTCCTCTGCGTGTCCCTCTCACCTGCCCTTCTGTCTGTAGCTCCCGGGGCTGCAGCTGGCAGCACCGGGTCTCCTGCTCCTCCCTGCGAGCGGAGCTGGGCTCATTCCATTCTTTTTTCTTCATAGGGGTTGAGTGGGCTGGGGGACTCCAGGAGATGGGAGTCCACGCTCACGCCTGTCTTTTCTTTCAGTTGGAGAGAGGCGATTTCCTCTCGGAAGAGTGGAGGGAGCGAATTGCCAACACGAGGTATGGCCGGCATGGGGCGTGCAGGGCATGTGGGGTGTGCTCACGGGCGGTCGGGGGCCATGGCACTGGGAACCAGGGACGAGCCCTCGCTCCTGCGCTGATTGTGGCAGAAAAGAGGTTGGCGGGGACAGGAGGGGCACCTTTCCCTCACGCTGGGTCTCTTCGGACCTGCAAAGCAGACGTGCCTGGCGGGTGGAGGTCTTAGAGCCCCATCAGCCCCTGTCGGCATGAACCTGCTCCCGCTGCCTGTCCCCTCGACTTGGGGACACTGTGGGCCCCTCTCGCCTGGGTCCTGGGCTTCTCCCCACTCAGGCGTGGTCTGGAGGTCGTCTTGTCTCTCTGTCCACCCATCCTGAAGTAGCTGTCACCCACGCGGTGCAATGAGAGAGTGGCCCCTCCTGATCCCAAGCCATCCCTGCCCGGCCTAGGCCCCTCTGCTCCACCTCACACCTGGGCCGGGGAGCTCAGGGCACTGTCCAGGTCTGTTTGTCCTGGTAGCTGGTGTTGGCTGGCTCTGTGGGAGTGGGCTGGGCCACTGTGCTCTCCACCAGGCAGCCCGTGTGTGGCCATGGCGCCTCACTGCATCCACCAGGGACCCTAGAGGTCCAAGGCTCTTGTGGTGGATGCTGGGGAGGTGGGTTCAGCAGCTGGCCAGGCCCTGCTCCCGCAGTCCCGCCATCCTTTCCGCCCCCTTTGTCCTCCGTGTGTCCCTCGTCCTCTCCACTCCCTCACTTCTGTCTTCCCTGTGCCCCCCTCCTCCCGAGTGTGCTCGTGGCTTGTGGTTGAGTGTCCCCCATGGACAGGGTTTTGGGTTTAAGTAGAAGATGAGGGTTTCTTGGCCAAGCGCAGTGGCTCACGCCCGCAATCCCAGAACTTTGGGAGGCCGCGGCGGGCGGATCATGAGGTCAGAGATCGAGGCCATTCTGATTAACATGGTGTGAAACTCTGTCTCTACTACAAGTACCGAAATTAGCTGGGCGTAGGGTACGTGCTTTTAATTCCAGCTACTCGGAAGGCTGAGGTAGGAGAATCGTTTGAACCCAAGAGGTGGAGGTTGCAGTGAGCCCAGAAATTACCACTGCACTACAGCCTGGCAACAGAGTGAGACTTCATCTCAAAAAACAAAAAAGGCCGGGCGCGGTGGCTCACACCTGTAATCCCAGCACTTTGGGAGGCCGAGGTGGGCGGATCACCTGAGGTTGGGAGTTTGAGGACAGCCTGACCAACATGGAGAAACCCTGTCTCTACTAAAAATAAAAAATGAGCCAGGCGTGGTGGCACATGCCTGTAGTCCCAGCTACTCGGGAGTCTGAGGCAGGAGAATGGCTTGAACCCTGGAGGCAGAGGTTGCGGTGAGCCCAGATCCCGCCACTGCACTCCAGCCTGGGCGACAAGAGTGAAATTGTCTCAAAAAAAAGAAAAAGAAAATAGGAGTTTCTTTCCCAAGTTTCCTGGGTTTGCCCTTGTGTGTGAACTTGCTTCGGGTTGGGGCACTGTGCCCGCCGGCGGGTGTTCTGCCCTCTGGAGGGAGTCGTGCTGACCCTGTGGTGTCCCCATCCCATGGGGCTGTGGTGGGAGCGCAGGGCAGTCTGTAGCGGTCGGGCCGCGATTGCTGTCTTGTGAGAAAGTCTGAAGAAGCCAGGAGATTTCCTGGCGTCCTGTTGACATCTGGGCTCGGCCCAGGCTCTCACAGTTCCTCTCCAGGAGCTGCCACTCGCCCCGGCCCTGGGCTCAGCCCGTTCTGGCTCCAGGCAAAGTGTGCAGGCCTTGACCAGGAGGGGCTCCTACCCCAGGCTGCCCACTGGTTACAGGACCTTGCCCTCTATCTGGCCCCAGCCTGATTTCCCTTAGCCGTGTCTGACCCGAGATGGCGGTGGCTTTGGAGGTGGCCTCGTGGAGCGTCCTTCAACACCAGCTTCCCCACGTGTTTCTGGCTCATGCCTCTCACCTTCCTTGGCCACCCAAGCTCAGTCAGCCTCACTTCTAGCCTTCCTAACTGCAGCCCTGAGTGGAGACACAGGCGACCCCACGACCCTCATTTGGGGATGGTGGCCTGGGAAAGCAATGCTGGGCCTGGAAGGGAGCCGTTGGTTCCCCCGTCCTTGCCAGGGTGTCTGAAACGCTGCAAGGACTCCTCGCCCGGGGCCCACCGTCCGCAGTCTCTGCAGCAGCTGAGCGGGAGCCTCTGCCCTGCGCTCTCTGTTTTGGCGTAGCCCCTGCTGGGCCTCTGTTCCTGGCCACCGCCTTCTTCCCTCAGCCTGTGGGTTTGTCACGGCTGCTCTTCCCACCCTGTGTGGGCTGCTCGTGAACCTTCCCCAACCGCTGGACTCCAAAGCCACCAAGATTCAAAACGAGTGACTTGGCCACGAAGCCTGTCCCCTCTGATTTCAACTCCATTCAGAAGAAACCGAATTTCCTTTTCTCTGCACCTGAAACCTACACCATGAGCTCGGCTGCGTGGGCTCGGCCGTGTGGGCTCGGCCTTGTGGGCTCGGCTGTGTGGGCTCGGCCGTGTGGGCTCGGCCTTGTGAGCTTGGCCGTGTGGGCTCGGTCTTGTGAGCTCGGCCGTGCGGCTCGGCCCTGGCGGTGGCGGGCGGGTGTGGGCTCGGCCGTGCGGCTCGGCCCTGGCGGTGGCGGGCGGGTGTGGGCTCGGCCGTGCGGCTCGGCCCTGGCGGTGGCGGGCGGGTGTGGGCTCGGCCGTGCGGCTCGGCGTGGCGGTGGCGGGCGGGTGTGGCAGGCCCGGCCGAGCTTCCCGGCACTGAACCGGAGTATTGTTTTGCAGTGTTATATTTGTGAATAACTTTGCCTTTGGTCCTGAGGTGGATCACCAGCTGAAGGAGCGCTTTGCAAACATGAAGGAAGGTGAGGCCCTCCTCGTCGGCCCTGCTACTGTGAAAAAACGTGCTTGAGGAGCGGTGTCCTGCAGAAGGCAGCTCAGACTTGGGGCCTTAGTCTCCCAGGACGCAGGCGGTCTTTCTTTCTTCTTTTTTTTCTCTTTTGATTGACAGTCTTGCTCTGTCACCCAGGCTGGAGTACAGTGGCATAATCTTGGCTCACCGCAGCCTCTGCCTCCAGGTTCAAGCAGTTCATGTGCCTCAGCCTCCCGAGGAGCTGGGACTACAGGTGTGCACCACCACGCCCAGCTACTTTTTGTTTTTATCTTTTTTTTTTTTGAGACGGAGTCTCGCTGTATCCCCCAGGCTGGAGTGCAGTGGTATAATCTTGGCTCACCGCAGCCTCTGCCTCCTGGGTTCAAGCGTTTCTCCTGCCTCAGCCTCCCGAGTAGCTGGGATTATAGGTGCGCAACACCACACCCGGCTAATTTTTGTGTTTTTGGTAGAGATGGGGTTTCACCATGTTGGCCTCGAACTCCTGACCTCAGGTGATCAGCCTGCCTTGGCCTCCCAAAGTGCTGGGATTACAGGCATGAGCCACTGCACCCAGCACTGGAAGCTTCTTGAGGTGAGCCTGCAACTTGCTTATGGCCAGCTGACCACCGAGGGGCAAGAGTCCCCTTTACTCTAGGCCCAAGCGCATGGTGCTCGGCATCCATACTGAGCAGGAGTGGGGCTCTCGGGTGTTTTATTTTCTCCCTCCGGAGAAAGGTTGTCAGGCCTGTGCACAGCCCTTGACACTGTTCTGAACTTCAGGCCCTGGCGTAGTTTCCGGAGCAGCCAAGTGAACCTGCTGCCTGGATCCCAGTCTTGTAGGTCAGGGTGGGACCCAGACCACAGTGTGTGGACTGCCCCTTCCCCTAAACATGGAGACTGAGCGTGCTGTTGCCCCCCAGCCGCTGCCTCCCTCCCAGGCTCTTTGCCAAGCCCTGCAGCAAGGGCCACCTCATCTTGTACCAGCGGACGTGGCTTCCACAGCCACCGCTGGGCTCAGAGACAGGTGCTCTGGGGGTGCCCCCTCCCGACTGCTTCCCACCCCTCCACTCCAGAGAGACCTCCAGGGGCCAGGGGAGAACGGAGGTGGGCTCCTAAGGTCTTCCAAACAAAACCCAGAGGGTCTGCGGCTGCCTTCAGCACTGCCCCACAGCTATGGGGGTTTGGGGGGTGCTTGTGTGCCTGCATCTGCATGCCTGTGTCTGTGTCTGTGTGTGTGCGCCTGTGTGCCTGCGTGTCTGCGCGTGCCTGCGTCTGCATGTCTGTGCCCGTGTGCATGCCGGCGCGTGTGCGCGCCCCTGTGCCTCCATGTCTGCTTGTGTGTCTGTGTGTGCATGCAGGCCTGCGTGTCTGTGCGTCTGTCTGCCTTACGAGTTTATTTGCCTATCTGTGTGTGCGCGCGTGTGGCGATCGTGTTTCTGAATTGTCTTAGAGCTCCATGAGGACACCATGCTTCCCCACCCAGTCGCTCCCACGCCTCAGGAGCACTCCAGCCTCCCTGAACCCTGCGGCCCCGTGTAGGAAGGCAGCCTTGGCTGCCTCAGCTCCTGCCACCTCCTCCACGGTTCCCGTCCTCGCTGCCCTAGAATGCTGCTTCTGGCTGTGTCTCGCCAGCCTTCTCCGCACGCTCAGCCACGGTGGCTGGGTCAGGGTACTGCAGTGGTGTCTCCTGTGCGGACCCTCCCCCAGGGGCTCTGATCACCCTTCACGTGCCCGTGAGCGCCTGTCAGCCTGGCTCTGCAGCCATAGTTGTGGCCCTGCTCGTGTCTGAGGTCGTGTCGTAGATACTGGCATAGCCTGTGTGCGCAGCCTAGCCCTTAAACCGTTCTTCCTGCTCCTCCTCATGGGAGTGGTGCCTGGAAAGCCAGGCCTCGGCTGGCTCGGCGTCCAGGAGAGTACAGCTGTAGAGCGGGGAGGGGGCTCTGCGTGCGCCTGTACACGTGGATCCATTTTGGCTTTTCCAACCCAAATGCCATATTATTTTCTTTCTATGTGTAGAAACAGAGACTGTTTCTTTGAACACTGCGGTTTGGCTCCTAACACCAGTAGCACGAGGTTCTCCCTGCAGCACACACGGGCTAGCCCCACAGGGACTGTCCGCAGTGACCCTGGCACCCAGCAGCAGCCTTGCAGAGGGAGGCTGAGGGCTTCCTTCCGGCCTGTCTGCATCTGTCACTGACAGGACAGTTAGAATCCCTGGGTTCAGAGGTATTGGAAGGAATTCTGCATGGCTGGCGACAGTAGACATCCACAGTTGGGTTCTATTCCTGTTTCTGTACGTCTTGGGGGTTTGCCCTTCTTTCTGCCTCTCAGACCTTAGCTTTTGTTTTTGTTGGTTTTTTTGAGGCGTGGTCTCTGTCCTTGGCCAGGCTGGAGTGATCGTAGCTCCCTGCAGCCTTGACCTCTGGGCTCAAGTGATCCTTCTGCCTCAGCCTTCCACGTGGCTGGGATCACACACTTGCACCACCGTGCCCAGCTAATTTTTATTTAATTTTTTGTAGACATGGGGTCTCTCTGTCTTGCCCAGGCTTGTCTGGAACTTCCTGGCCAGTCTGTCTGCCGTGGCCTCCCGTAGTGCTGGGTTTACAGGCGTGGGCCTCCGCGCCGGGCCCGCAGTGGGTTTTGAAGAAGCTGCTGCACACGTGTCAGCTGGCCTTGCCTTCCTCATTTAACAGAAGAGCCCGGGAATCACGCGGGGCAGCGAGAGCTCCTTTTCCGGCCACGTCTCGTAGCAGTGGTTGCCCGGGCACTTCCGCAGCCGAGTCCCCAGCCAGGCCGAGTCGCTGTGCCTCAGGAGGCTCCTCTGCAGAGCCCACTCCACCCGGGGAGATGCTGGCTCAGGGTCCAGGCTGCTGGGACTTTTGTGAGGACTCGAAACTTTCTTCTTTGAGATGGAGTCTTGTTCTTTTGTTCAGGCCGGAGTGCAGTGGCGCAATCCAGCTGACTGCAACCTCCGCCTCCTGGGTTCAAGAGATCCTCCTGTCTACCCCTGTGGAGCTGGGATTACAAGCGTGTGCCACCGTGCCTGGCTAACTTCTTTGTATTTGTAGTAGAGACAGGGTCTCACCATGTTGCTGAGGCTGGTGGTGAACTCCTGACCTCAGGGGATACACCGGCCTTGGCTTCCCAGAGTGCTGGGACCGTAGGCGTGAGCTGCCGCGCCCAGCTGAGAAGGTTTTTAGTTTGTAGGAGACCGGGCGTGGTGGGTCACTTGAGGCCAGGAGTTCCAGACCAGCTTGGCCAACATAGCGAAACCCCATCTCTACTAAAAAAATTCAAAAATTGGCCAGGCGCGGTGGCACATGCCTGTAATCCCAGTGCTTTGGGAGGCCAAGGGCAGGCAGATCACAAGGTCAGGAGATGGAGACCATCCTGGTCAACATGGAGAAACCTGCCCATGTCCTGTACTAAAAATACAAAATTAGCCGGGTGTGGTGGCGCGTGCCTGTAGTCTCCGCTACTTGGGAGGCTGAGGCAGGGGAATCACTTGAACCCGGAGGTGGAGGTTACAGTGAGCCGAGAGACTCGGTCTCCATTAAAAACAAAGTTACTTGTAGGATAGGCTTAAGCTTGGAAGGCGCTCCGTGGTTTTGCTCGTAGGCAGGTGTACGGGACTCGGAGCCCAGCGTGAGCGTGCGTCTGTGTGTTCTGTGGTGTCACTCCCTCTGTGTCACCTCGATTGGTGTCTGCACTTCGTCTCCTCTCCCCTGTGTGGCAGTAAGCAGCGATTGTGTTTCAGGTGGCAGAATCGTGTCCTCGAAACCCTTTGCACCTCTCAACTTCAGAATAAACAGTAGAAACTTGAGTGGTAAGGAACTCTCCCGTTGTTAATTACTAACATGGGTGATTTTAAGCATCTGACATGCCTTATTCCCAGCTCCCTCCCCCTCGGCCCTGTGGACATTGATGCTGGATCCTTTTTTGGGGTGGGGCCATCCTGGGCACTGCAGGGTGCTGAGTGGCGTCCCTCGCCTCCGCCCACTTTATGCCGGGAGCACCCCGGTCATGACAGCCACAAATGTCCCCAGACAGCACTGTGTGTCCTCGGGGCAGAGTCACTCCTGGGGGAGGGAGGCGTGAAGGATTTAAGGGACTCTTTCGGACAGGGACAGCCCCTCAGGGGAAGTAGTTGGCCCCTCCTGCGCCCCCTGCCAGCCTTGTGTGTGGCGTGCTCTGTCCGGTCCCAGTCCCTGAGGAGTGCCTGCCCGGGAAGTGCCTGTGTTGCTGGGGGCTGGCCAGGTGCAGCCACGATCTACCTTGCTTCCAGATCTCCCCCTCCTTTCCCATTCCACTCGGCTGGGCTTGTGGCCGTTCTGAGGCTAGAGGTGCCCAGGCCAGGTGCCGTTCCATGGTGCACCTCCCTGGCCCGGCGGTTGAGACGGCCTCTGTGGGCCACTGTGGCCTGACTCAGTGTGGGAGGAGAGGGAGGATGTGTGCAGCTCAGGGTTCTGTCCCCTGGCTCGCCCTTGGTGGGTGAGGTGGGCGTGGAGGGGCTGGGCGGGCTCAGGCCTCACCTTGGTCTGTGGCTCCTGCAGACATCGGCACCATCATGCGTGTGGTGGAGCTGTCGCCCCTCAAGGGCTCGGTGTCGTGGACGGGGAAGCCGGTCTCCTACTACCTGCACACTATCGACCGCACCATAGTGAGTATCTGGCCACGCCCCGGCCGCAGGGCCGCCCTTGCCTTACCTGCACGGGCCTCTGAGACCCTCACCCCAGAGCCCTGAATGCCCCACCTCTGCCGCCCCGGGCCCGGGCCCAGCTGCTCAAGGGCTCAGCATTGCTGGCACCACAGGACCCACGAGGTTCTCCCAGGCACCGGGCATGTCTGGTGAGGGCTGAGCCCTTGTCTGCTCCCAGCCCCTGGGGTGGGATGGGGCCATGGGAGATGTGTGACCATAAGGGTCCTGGCTGCCATATCCAGAGGCCCCTGTGAACAGGAGTCCCACATCCCTTTCCCACTTTGTTTGATGTAAGAGGGTCCATGGATGGGGGCTGGGATGCTTCTTCTCTCCCTGTGCTTCCCGGTGTCCTCTGACAGCCCTGGGCCAGTGTGGGGCCTGCCTCCCCCTAATGGTGCTTCCCTGACGGTTCCCTGAGCCTCCTGCCGTGTGGGCGGCGTGGCCCTCGACACTGGGAGGCTTCCCCTGGTCTCTTTCCCGTCCTCTGGGTGGGCACTCGGTTTCTGTGTTTTGGGGTCTCGGCGGTTTTCCTCACTGTGGTGCTGGTGTGTCCGGACCCTCCCTGCTGGGTGCTTAGAGCTTGCACTGCAGACTTCCTGGGGAGCACTGATGCAGGCTCCGGCCGACCGCCCCAGGCAGAGGCACGTGCCCTTCCCACTGCTCCCCTGAGGGCCCTGGGATGAGAGGCATGGTGAGCTGAGGTTGAGGCTCTGGGCGCTACGCCCACCGTGCGGCCCCACCCCGGGCAGTTCTGCTGCCTGCTCAGCTTGGTCCCTCGCCTTCCTGGGTGTTTCAGTGCACCCTCTTCCAGAAGCCACATTCCAGGCCTGTGTCCGTCCTGAAGGCTTAAAGCAGCCCGGACCCAGCTGTTGCGTGCTGGTGAATTGAGGGTGATGTCTGGCCGCACCTGGGTCCGTCACATCCGCGTTTGCTGTTGGGGGCTCCAGCTGCACACCTGGTGTCCCCAAGTACCAGGACAGCCTCCCCCGCTCTCCGAGGAGCTGCTGTTACCTGGGCGTCCAGACAAATCCGAGCAGAGATTGGGACTCCCTTCTAATGAGGTTTCTCTTTCTTCTTTTTAGCTTGAAAACTATTTTTCTAGTCTGAAAAACCCAAAACTCAGGGTAAGTTTGTGTATTTTCTCCCATGTGGGAGAGGCAGAGCCGTGTGGTGGGTTCCCGAGCCATGACTGGAGCGCAGCCCTGCCCCCTCCCACCACTCCTTCCATCCTCTCCCCACCGCGTCCTCCCCGCCCTCCTCCCACCTTTCCCCTGCTTCTCTCTCTCCTTTCTGTCTCTGTCTCTCTCTGTGCTTTGCCTTGTCTTCAATGGTCTGGCCTGGGTCATCCTTTTCCTTGTTGATACCCATTTTGGGGGAGGTGGCTTCGGTTAGTTGTGGTGATGGGGTGAGTTGCACTGAAGGGTTGAGTGGGTGAATGGCCTGTGCTCACTGCTGGCTGCTTTTTCCGGAGGCCTCGGGGGCTGCACGTTGCACTTGTCTCCCCTCGGTGTCGAGTGCAGCTCCTGGGCCGCCACTGCTCTGCACTTCTGAGGCAGGCTGTCCCCGCCTTTTGCAGTGGTGCGGAAGCCTGTCATGGGAGCTGCAGTGGTGGCCCTGCCCACTGGTGCTTTTGCAGCCTCACACTCGCCTGCTTATTTGCCACCAAAGCTGAGAGGCTGTTTGTCCAAGTGTCCCTTCCTTTTGGAGGGTCAGATGAGATCAGTGTGTGGAGAACCCCACCCGCGAACAGCTCTGTCACTACCTGGATTTGTAGCTGGGGCTGGGCTGTAACCCAGAGCGTGGTACCCCTTGGGGTCCTGTGTCCTTCCCACCGTGCTTAGGGAGAGCAGGGAACAGCCCAAGGTGGCTGGTGCGTCCTGTGTTCTTCTTGTGTGTCACAGCGTCCCACGCGTGGGCGTTAGCGCCTTTCGCTGAGAGGAGAGGGGGCAGGGGAGGCTGTGGGCTGTGGCTTCTGGGTCGTGGTGCCTGAGGCTTATCTCGTTTCATTTCTTGGATGTGGCTCTTTCTCCGTGGCCCATAGTCAGGCCTTTTACTGATGGGTGTGTGTGATCCTGGGAGTGGCTGTGAATACAGTCATCTGTGTCCATGGGTCACATCCTGCCCTGTGAGGCCCCAAGCAGCCCACTGCTGTCTCTGGGACTCAGCCTCCTGATTTGTGCCACAGAGGATTTGCAGAGGACAGACAGAGTTGGGCCTGTGGCCCCCTTGAGTCTGAGCTCCGCGTGCCCCTTGGTGCAGGAGGGCTGTGGGCAGCACCAGGGCTCACTGGGGCTCACTGGGGCTCACTCGCTCTCCTTCCAGGAGGAACAGGAGGCAGCCCGGCGCCGCCAGCAGCGCGAGAGCAAGAGCAACGCAGCCACGCCCACCAAGGGTCCCGAAGGCAAGGCAGCTGGCCCTGCGGAAGCCCCCACGGTAAGCCCCACTTGGCTACCGCTGCTGGGGGCAGTGCCCCCGACCCGGGAGACCCCATTGCCGGGAGGCTTCGCACTCACTCACCCCTGCCCTTCCCTTGGGTCCTCCAGGACTCTGGTGCTGAGGAAGAGAAGGCGGGAGCAGCCACCGTGAAGAAGCCGTCTCCCTCCAAAGCCCGCAAGAAGAAACTGAACAAGAAGGGGAGGAAGATGGCCGGCCGCAAGCGTGGGCGCCCCAAGAAGATGAGCACTGCGAATCCCGAGCGGAAGCCCAAGAAGAACCAAACTGCACTGGATCTCCTGCACGCTCAGACCGTGTCTCAGACGGCGGCCTCCTCGCCCCAGGGTGAGTCTCCCCTACCCCACGGAGCCCGCTCTCCCCAGTGCAGAGGTCTAGGGGCCCCTCTGCTGGGACGCCGCCCTCCTGAGCCCTGGGTATCCAGGGGGTCCCGGGAGCCTCCCTGGTGTGGCTGTGCCTTCGGGGCGGCCCCGTCCTGAGGGGTACTGGGCACTTGCCTCATGCCGATGCCTGCCCACTGCTCTGCTGCAGATGCCTACAGGTCCCCTCACAGCCCATTCTACCAGCTACCTCCGAGCGTGCAGCGGCACTCCCCCAACCCACTGCTGGTGGCGCCCACCCCGCCCGCGCTGCAGAAGCTGCTAGGTGAGTTTGAGAGCACAAGGGGGCCAGCAGAGGGGGCTGGGCTTGGGGCGGTCCTGGGAGGACCATGGGTTGTGACTCTGACCTCGAGGCAGCCCTCATGACCCCCATGCTGGACCCCACTGAGGTTCACCTAGGGTGGGGGTCTGCCTGCTGCAGGGGTCAGGAGGGGCTCAGATGCAGCCTGTGGGCTGTTTGAGGTCTCGCTCAGGAGACACTAGGTGACACTTGGGACATCTGTGGTTGTCGTGACTGGATGGTGCTGCTGGCCGGGGGCGGGTGCCGGCTAGGGATGTTGCTTGGGACCCTGCAGTGCCCTGTGCAGTGGACATTCGGCGGAGCAGGGGCTGGGCCCGCGTGTGCTGGGAGCAGGGGGCATGTGGTGTGGGCCCCGCAGGGCTCTGCCAGGCTCCTGCCTCCTGAGCACCTGCCCCAGCCTTGTGCTTGTTTCTGACGGCTCCCGTCTTCTCACCCGGGCTGCGCCTCTCTTCCCAGAGTCCTTCAGGGTCCAGTACCTGCAGTTCCTGGCGTACACGAAGACCCCCCAGTACAAGGCCAGCCTGCAGGAGCTGCTGGGCCAGGAGAAGGTGGGTCCCGGCCCCTCAGACTCCTGCCCGCACGGAGGCAGGCGGGTTCCTGTTCCTGGTCCCCGTCCGTTCCCTGCAGCAGGGGTCCTGGAGCGCAGGCCTGAGGGGCTCCCTCCTTCCCTCACCTGCTGTGAGAAACAAACTTACCTGTTTGAAACCCAAAGAATGGACTGAGAGACCCAGACAACAGCGAAGCAAGACCCTTCCTATGGTTTTGCCAGATCTGGTGTCTCAGGGCCACACCCAGCAGTTTCAGGCAGCAGCGCTGCCCCCGTCCCACAGGCTGAGGACGGCGGGGTCCCAGTCCTCCCGGGTGTCGCCTGGTAGTTGTTGGGCTGGGGCTCTAGGTGTTTTCTCTAGGGTTGTCCTGCATTTTGTTGCTGCCCACAATGCGTTGCAATCCTAGTCAGCTCAGGGGCTCTTCACGTACCTGACGCACAGCCTGAGTAGGGCAGGCTCGTAAGAACAGGCAAAGCAGGCTGGTGAACGTTCATCTTAGCCTCAGCTTCTTTGCTTTGGGTGAGGCAAGTAATCAGGAGGGGGCTGGGGAGGCCGAGAAGCAGGCGCAGGCATCAGAGATCCAAGCAGGGGCCTCGCATGTGCCGTCTCCTGTGGTGTGCTGACCTAAGCCGATTCAAGGCACTTGGTCTTGGAAATGGACCACTGTTTACATGAATCCCTTCACCTGCGGTCCCGGCCGTGGGGCACCCCCACACCCCGATCTCCCCCAGGGAGCCGTGGAGGACCTGTCTCAGTGCAGAGCCAGGTCCAGGCTACGGGTGGAAGTTGCGGCGGCCCAGAGGTAGCTCCAGAAGCCGCTGCAGCCATGAGGTCTGCTGTCTCTGAGCCCTGCTTTGCATTTTGGACTTAGGTTTTGCTTTAAAGAAGCTTACAGGGCCGGACGCAGTGTCTCGTGCCTGTAATCCCACCACTTTGGGAGGCCAAGGCGGGAGGATCATGAGGCCAGGAGTTTGAGACCAGCCTGACCAACATGGTGAAACCCCGTCTCTACTAAAAATACAGAGATTAGCTGGGCGTGGTGGCGGGCACCTGTAATCTAAGCGACTCTATAGGCTGAGGCAGGAGAATCACTTGAACCCGGGAGGTGGAGGTTGCAGTGAGCTGAGATCACACTGTTGCACTTCAGCCTTGGTGACAGACAGAGACTTCGTCTCAAAAAGAAAAAGCCTACAGGGTGCTTTGAGGACAGGCACACGCATTGCTTCCTGTAGCCGACAGTAGGCCGGGCCGGGGCTCTGTTCCTGCCGCTGTCTGGGCGTTGTCCCGTGGCAGTGGCTCCTGGCTCTTCCCTCGGGGCAGGCCAGCGGGGCACTGCAGCAGGCTTCCATGCAGAGCCATGCCAAAAGTCCACCCCCTGGCATGGCCTCGGGGTAAACTCCTCGATGCCGCTTCCCTCGGCAGTGAACCAGATGCAGAGCTGGTCCCCTCCCACCGAGGCCTGAGTGTTGCTGGGCATCTCAGCTCGGTGTGGGTCCCCTCAGGCGTGTCTGTCCTTGAGCGCATCTACAGCGAGGTGTGAGAGGCAGGGTGTGGGCCTTCCTGCGGGCCCTCAGTCACCTGCCCCGTCCGTCCTGCAGGAGAAGAACGCCCAGCTCCTGGGCACGGCTCAGCAGCTCCTCAGCCACTGTCAGGCCCAGAAGGAGGAGATCAGGAGGCTGTTTCAGCAGAAATTGGATGAGGTAGTGGCTCGCAGAGGGCTGACAGCAGCCGGGGTGCAGCCTGGGGCAGCCTTCCTACGGCTCCTGTCTGGGCCTCCGTCCGGCAGTTTCTCCTGGGCTGGGCTGCATGGGTTTCCATGCCTGGGGGCTTGGAGGCTGACTGCTACCCTGTCCCGTGTCCCCAGCTGGGTGTGAAGGCGCTGACCTACAACGACCTGATTCAGGCGCAGAAGGAGATCTCCGCCCATAACCAGCAGCTGCGGGAGCAGTCGGACCAGCTGGAGCAGGATAACCGCGCACTCCGCAGTCAGAGCCTGCAGCTGGTGGGGGTCACCGCGCCGGGACAGGGACATAGAGGGAGCCAGAGGGACCCCGCCTGGGCGGGTGTGTCCTCTGTGTGGGCGGGAGCCTCTGTTGTGGGGTTGGTTCCCAGTGAAAGCTTGTGGAGCCCGTCACAGCAGGCCAGCCTGGGACGCTGGGCGGATGGTTTCTCAGCAGCCCTGGGTGTCAAGGAGCCGCACTGTGGCAGGCTTGAGGTGTGGGGTCCCGTGGCATCCCCCTGCTGTGGTGTGGGTGCTAGAGCTGCCTATTCTGTCTGTGGGAGCCCCAGTCTTCACTGGTTCCCCATCCCCAGCCTGTTATTTCAGAAGCAGGTTCTGTTCCCTAAGTACACAGGCTGTTGGCTGAGGCTGGCCCAGGGAGCCCTTGCCCTGAGGGCGCGGAGTGTGTCGGGCTGCCAGTCAGCCAGTTGACGCTGCCCGGTCTCTGTCCCGTTAGCTCAAGGCTCGCTGTGAGGAGCTGCAGCTGGACTGGGCCACGCTGTCCCTGGAGAAGCTGCTGAAGGAGAAGCAGGCGCTGAAGAGCCAGATCTCAGAGAAGCAGAGGCACTGCCTGGAGCTGCAGGTGGGCTGGGCGTGGGGCTACACTCTTTGGTGCCCAAGAGGCTCCTGTCGGCCTCTGTGTGACAGCACTGAGGCCCCGGGGTGGTTGTGGATGCAGCAGCCTAGGAGGAGGGTGGAGGCGGCTTGTGACAGCTTCTCTCCTGGGCTGCAGGCTGGCCATGTGGCCAGCGCCGCCTCACTCTGGCCCTCAGCTCTCTGGGGCATCCCGGGCGCGCTCAGCTGTGTGCGCAGCGTTCACCTAGGATTTCCTGGCCTCCTGCTCCCTGGCCGCTTCTGCGACAGTCGGGTAGAATTTGCTCTAGGAAATAGCTGGAACAGAGCAGAGGCTCATGTTTGTAATCCCAGTACTTGGGGAGGCTGAGGCGGGTGGATCACTTGAGGTCAGGAGTTGGAGACTAGCCTGGCCAACACAGTGGGACCCTGGTTCTACCAAAAATGCCAAACTTAGCCAGGTGTGGTGGCGCCTGCCTACAGTCCAGCTACCGGGGAGGCTGAGGCAGGAAGATCATTTGAGCCTGGGAGGTGGAGGCTGCGGCAAACCGGGGTTTTGCCACTGCACTCCAGCCAGGGTGACAGAGAAATAAAATAGCTCATACTCTCTGACGCCGAGAAACGTGTTTGTGGAGGCCGAGTAGAGGAAGCATGGAGCAGGGCGTGCGGCGGGAAGGTGCTCTCCTCCTCCTCCTGGGCAGGAGCTTGTGCACGGTGCCCACCACTGCCGTGCAGTCTGGAAAGCAGCAGGTCGAGGGCTTCGTTCCCACAGCCCTGTGCCTTTGAGGCTGTGCCTGCCTGCTGAGCTCACATGTCCCCAGCGTGGTTTCACCATTGATGGACATGATGCCCTTTCAAAGGCCTTCACCAAACCTTTGCTGCAAGGCTGCCCCGAGGGGCAGGAGCCACACTCGCTGGCATTGATCGGGAGGCGCCGCCCACATGCGGCCCAGCTGCTTGCTCACCTGTGCGGCCCTGGTGTGCCTTGGTAGCGTACCTTAGAGAAACGGAGGTCGCGACCTCGTTCCCACAGCCAGGCCACATGGAGTAGAAGCCTTGGGACGAGCATATTTGGGTTCTAACCCTTTTTGTCATCTTTTTTTCTGCAATAAACGGTATGTGTTTGTTAAAAGAAAGCAGAGAAACAGAACAGACAAACCTAAAGGAAAAAGCCCTTCCCCCACTCAGGGCCAGGAGAAGCACTGCCACGCCCCAGTGGCGTGTCCCGCCACGGGTGTCTCTGCGTGTTCCACACGGAGTCTCTTTTAAGACAGCGGAGCGCTCTGTCGTCCTGTTCACGGCAGCGGAACCGCCCCGGCCTCCCATTGCTTCATTTGGCAATCCCCGAGCTTCCCAGGCCCGCCTGGAGGTGTTCGGGGCTTTTGGTTATTCCATCCCACATGAGCAGCAGGGTCCTGGCCGCCCCTCCAGGGGTCTGTCTGTGGCACAGCCCCAGTCCCTGGTGTGGTCCCAGGCAGGGCGGGTCTGACGCCACATCTCCTACTGCAGATCAGCATTGTGGAGCTGGAGAAGAGCCAGCGGCAGCAGGAGCTCCTGCAGCTCAAGTCCTGCGTGCCACCGGACGACACCCTGGCCCTGCACCTGCGCGGGAAGGGTGCCCTGGGCCGCGAGCTGGAGCCCGACGCCGGTCGGCTGCATCTGGAGCTGGACTGCGCCAAGTTCCCGCTGCCTCACTTGAGCAGCATGAGCCCAGAGCTCTCCATGAATGGCCATGCTGCCAGCTATGAGCTCTGCAGTGCGCTGAGCCGGCCCTCGCCCAAGCAGGACACGCCCCAGTACCTGGCCTCACCCTTAGACCAGGAGGTGGTACCCTGCACCCCCAGCCACGGTGGCCGGCAGCGCGTGGAGAAGCTGTCTGGCCTGGCTGTGCCCGACTACACCAGGCTGTCCCCAGCCAAGATCGTGCTGAGGCGGCACCTCAGCCAGGACCACACGGTGCCCGGCAGGCCGGCCGCCAGCGAGCTGCACCCGAGGTAAGTGTCCTGGCGGGTGAGGGTCTGCACCTGGTGCCTGCGGACTCCGCCTGGTGCACTCGGGCTGTTGGAGGTCCCAGCAGGAGTGCATCTGTTGAGGAGACTAAGGTGGGAGGTGCTGGGCCGGGCCGCTGCCCCTGAGCGCCAGCTGGAGGCACCGAGTGGCCCTTGAGAGTGACTGCAGCTTCTCGTTCCAGAGCTGAGCACACCAAGGAGAATGGCCTTCCCTACCAGAGCCCCAGCGTGCCCAGCAGCATGAAGCTGAGCCCCCAGGACCCGAGGCCCCCATCCCCTGGGGCCCTGCAGCTTGCTGGAGAGAAGAGCAATGAGAAGGTGCGGGCCGCAGCCTCTGCCCGGTGCTCACGGGGGTGCTCAGCAGAGGCAGCCCTGGCGACTTGCTAGCAGGGGGCTTGTCCTAGTTGACCTTGGGGCACGGTGAGGGACTAGGGCTGCCTGGAGGACGTTGTGGCTGAGTTGGGGGGCAGCCAGTAAGGACAGGTCACAGGTGACGCTGGGCAGGTGCCCTGGAGGGTGTGGGGTTTGTCAGGGTGTCCCTGATGCCCTGCAGTTCTCAGTGATGGGTGGTGAGGGCTGGTGGAGACTCAGCCCATGAGGACTGCCTGGGGGCACTGGCCTGTGTGTGCAGGGATGGATGGTGACGTTGCATTGACTTGGCAGTGATGGATGCAGGCCCGGGGAGGCTCAGTGGCCCCACAGGTGACAGCCCACCGAGCTGGGCGGCAGGCTGGAGGGAACACATGTCATGGCTTTCGGACGCGACACCAGGAGTGTGCTATGCCTCTGGAGTGACCCAGAGCTGGTGTCCAGGACTTCTGACTCTGTGGGGCAGGTTGCAGGGCCGCCTTGAGAGAGCAGCAGCAGGCCCCTGTCTCGTGACTGTGGTTCCCCTGTCCTGGAGGGGTGTGTTGACCTGCAGCCGGGGGTCCGGCGTTCATCCGCAGGGCCTGAGGGAGCGTGCCTACGGCAGCGGCGGAGAGCCCATCACCAGCCTGCCCATCAGCATCCCGCTCAGCACCGTGCAGCCAAACAAGCTTCCGGTCAGCATCCCCCTGGCCAGCGTGGTGCTGCCCAGCCGTGCCGAGAGGGCGGTGAGTGCTTCCCGAGGAGGTCCCCAAAGCCCACGTAGAGGGAGCCAAATCGTTTGGGGTTCCCGAGTGCCGACTCGCTTAGGTTGAGCGAGAGACAGTGCAGTGAAGGGGGCTGTGCGGACCCAGGCGGCTGCTCAGCTCTCCTCTGTGACCGCCAGCCTTTTGCTTTGGGTAAAAGGTGGGTGCGCAGGTCGAGAGGGCGTCGCATCTCTCTTGAGGAGGAGCTCGAGGCCCAGCCTGGCTCCCAGCCTCCCTCCTCACAAGCCCTGTTGAGTGCTGTGGCCCCTGGGTTCTCCCACGCCCGCTGGGCCTGCAGAGAATCTCATCCTGTGGAGCATGGGTGGGGTTTTCTGGGCATTGAGCTCTTTCTTTTTTAAGATTTTGTGTTTCAGGTGTACATTTTCATGGTTTTTAGCATTTTTTTTTTTGAAATGGAGGCTTGCCCTGTCACCCAGACTGGAATGCAGTGGCGTGATCTCGGCTCACTGCAACCTCCACCTCCCAGGTTCAGGCGATTCCTGCCTCAGCCTCCCAAGTAGCTGAGATTACAGGTGCCTGCCACCACGCCCAGCTAATTTTTGTATTTTTTGTAGAGATGGGGTTTCACCATCTTGGCCTGTCTGGTCTTGAACTCCTGACGTCTGGTGATCCACTGGCCTTGGCCTCTCAAAGTCCTGGGATTATAGGCGTGAGCTACCACACCCAGCCAATTTTTGTATTTTTAATAGAGGTGGGGTTTCACCATGCAGGCCAGGCTGGTCTTGAACTCCTGGTCTCAAGCAGTCCACCTGGCTGAGCCTCCCGCAGTGCTGGGCTTCCGGGCATGAGCTCCGGCACCCAGCCGGGTTTTCTGTTTTTATACACCTCTGTCTAATTCCGGGGTATTTTCTTCATCTCAGAAGAAGTGTTGCTCTGCTCAGCAGTCACTCCTTAGCCCTCCCCCAGCCCTCCCATGGCCCTGAACGTGCTCCAGTGCAGGCCTGTCCCACCTCTTGACTTGGCGCGTGATGGCGTTCCCCGTGTGGCTGGAGTACGCTGTCATCCCGCCCAACTGATGGGTGCTGGGCTGGCTCCACGTTTTGGTGGTTGTGAGTCCTTATGCTGTGAACGTTGGGTCCAGGTTTTTGGGTGGATGTAGGTTGTTCTTCGGCCCGTGGGGAGCCCTGGGCGCCGGGGTCACTCTGCTGACCTCTGTTGGACCTGCAGTGTGGCAGGGTGTGGCAGCTCCTGGGTGTGTTCTCACCCCACGTGACTGCCGACATTTGTTTCCCTCTTGAGGGTGGGCGTGGGTTGTTCGGGTTGTGCCCAGTACCCCCGTCCCACAGCCGGACCTCGGGACTCCCACCCGCTGACCTCCCTGCCTCAGGCCCGCCACCCCATTCACACGCCGGCACTGCCCACCCTAGCTGCGCCACCCACCCGGGGCCCTGCTGTAGTTCTTCAGCCGCTGCCCCCTTCCCACCCAGGACTGGACGGTGACCCCGGCCAGTGCATTCGCTGTTTACAACTGGGTTCTGGGTCTCCCCCTGACACACTGGCTTTTCTCTCTGCAGAGAAGCACCCCCAGTCCTGTGCTGCAGCCCCGAGACCCCTCGTCCACACTTGAAAAGCATATTGGTGCTAATGCCCACAGTGCTGGGAGCAGAAGCCTTGCCCTGGGCCCCGCAGGTAACGTCCCTCCTGTGTCCTACCCGTGGGACTTTGCTGCTGCTCTTTAGAGCAGGAGGGCTGGGTGCTGGGAGCAGAAGCCTTGCCCTGGCCCCCGCAGGTAACGTCCCTCCTGTGTCCTACCCGCGGGACTTTGCTGCTGCTCTTTAGAGCAGGAGGGCTGGGTGCTGGGAGCAGAACAGGGCTTCCGGGGTGATCCTAGGGCCGCCCTGGACGGCCGGGCCTCCTTCTGGACATCCTTTCCTGCATCCCGCAAGCTGGGATGAAGATCAGTCTCAGCTTCGGCCACCACTGCCTCAGGCCCCTGTCTCCCGACGCTGACGCCCCAGGCCCTCATCTCCCGAAGCTGGGGGCCCCAGGCCCGCGTCTCCTGACGCTGACGCCTCTCGCCTGTCTGTATTGATTCCGCCCGTGGGGTCAGCCCCAGCCCTGTTGGGGCTCCTGCACTCTCGGCTGGGAGGCCCCTGACTTGGTGCACACTGGCACACGGCCACAAGCCTCCGTGCTGGTGGCAGCGTGGTTTCGGGTTCTGTGGCCAGTCTCTGCTGGTAGCCCAGTTTCTGTAAAGAGCCAGAGTGGACACTGCACTGGCCTCTGTCATAACCGTGCAGGCCTGTCTAGTGTGGAAGCCACAGAGACACGGTCAGTGAGTGTGGCTGTGTGCCAGTGAAACTACTCACAACAGCGGGGAGGGTTCAGGCTCTCAGGCTTGTCTGCTGGCCCTGCGTTGATGTGTGGCGTGACGTGACATCTACTTTTTTAGGAGGAAAAAGTAAAATGTGACCCATGCCTATAAGCCCAGCACTTGGGGAGGGAGAGAGGTGGGCGGATCACCTGTGAGACTGGCCTGGCCAAAAATATGAAACCCCATCTATACTAAAAATACAAAAATTAGCCTGGTATGGTGATGGTCACTTGTAATCCAAGCTAGTCGAGAGGCTGAGGCAGAAAAATTGATCCTGGGAGGTGGAGGTTGCGGTGAGCCGAGATGATACCTCTGCACTCCAGCCTGGTGACAAGAGTGCAACTCCGTCCCAAAACCAAAAGCAACGGCAAAGCGCAGGGCGCAGGCTGCTGTCGGGACTGGAGGCTCCAGGGCAGCCGGGTGGCGGCACGGTTGACCGCGTGAGGGCCCTGGAGAGGCCACCCAAGCCTGGGCAGCTCTGCTCTGGCAGGCTTGTGCCCTTCGGATGAGGTCTGGTCTGTGAGAGGCAGTGACAGTATCAGGAGGTGTTCATTTGGGTCACAAATGGGCGACTTACCCCAGAAGCACCTCGCCCGCCCTTTGTCCCGGGGGGTCCCGGAAGTGCACCGCTCACTGTGGGCTGGGAAGCACGGCCTTAGCCTTCAGGGCAGCCGTAGCTTGGAGGGTCAAAGCTGAGTTGTCTGAGAACAGGAGGGAGGGAGGCCGCTGAGCCATGGGCTTTCCTTGTGGCGTCTCTGAGATCACGGGGGCAGAGGGGATCTCACTCAGAGGTGCCCAGCTCAGCAGGGAGCCCGCACCCGCACCGGGAGGCTTCTTGAGGGGAGGCGGCATCTCAGCTGAGACCTGCAGGGCACAGGCAGCCCAGATAAATGGGAGGAGGCATAGGGTCAGCCCTGAGCCCTGTGGTTGCCCACAGAGTTTTCTGGTTCCACCCCAGAGGGGCCGTTTCAGCCTCCTAGCCCCGTTCCCTGCTTCGCCGCCTCTCCTGGAGCCCACCAAGCTCCTGGAGGGAGGTACTCCCACAGCCTGGCTTCCTCTTCAGCTAAGGTGGGGCCCAGCATCTCCCCTATGGACTGAGGCTGTCCTTCGTCCCCTGAGACTCCCATGTCCTTCCCGGCAGGCTTCTCCTATGGTGGCTCGGTGGCCATCAGCGGGACCCTGGCAGGCAGCCCAGCCTCTCTCACCCCTGGAGCCGAGCCGGCCGCCTTGGATGAGTCTTCCAGCTCTGGGAGTCTTTTTGCCACTGTGGGGTCCCGCAGCTCCACGCCACAGCATCCCCTGCTGCTGGCACAGCCCCGGAACTCGCGCCCGGCCTCTCCTGCCCACCAGCTTTCCTCCAGCCCCCGGCTCAGTGGGGCTGCCCACGGCCCGCTCCCGGAAGCCAGCAAGGGGGACCTGCCCTCCGATTCCGGCTTCTCAGATCCGGAGAGCGAGGCCAAGAGGAGGATCGTGTTCACCATCGCCACCGGCGCGGGCGGCACCAAGCAGTCGCCTTCCAGCAAACACAGCCCCCTGACCGCCAGCACCCGCGGGGACTGTGTGCCGAGCCACGGCCAGGACAGTCGCAAACGTGGCCGGCGGAAGCGAGCGTCAACAGGGACGCCCAGTTTGACCGCAGGCGTGTCCCCCAAGCGCCGGGCCCTGCCGTCTGTCGCTGGCCTTTTCACGCAGCCTTCAGGGTCTCCTCTAAACCTCAACTCCATGGTAAGGACGGTAAGGACGGGGGCTGGCAGGGCCAGGGAGCATGGCCCATGGAAGAAAGACCAGAGGGAGGTGGGGGCCATGACTGAGGCTGGTCATCCGTCCCCCGCCACCTGCGGCTGTGGCAGCCTGGGAAGAGGCGGCCGACAGCTGCTCCTGGGTTCAGAGGAGCGCTGAGCTGCCTGAAAGCTTCATCCTCAGTGGTGGGGCCTTGGTGGAGGTGGGCACACGAGGAGTGGGTGTGGGGGGCTCTGGGCTGTGGGGGTGGTATGTGAGGACCAGAAGGAACCAGGACTGAGGCTGTGCCGGCCGCCAGGCAGGGCATCCACTTCCTCAGGAAACTCTGGAGTGCAGGGAGCCTCCTGGGTCGTGGGGCTCTCCTGCCTTGGGATCCCGGCCTGTGCTCTGTGCACCCGCTGTGTCTGTCTGCTCTCAGGTCAGTAACATCAACCAGCCCCTGGAGATTACGGCCATCTCATCCCCTGAGGCCTCCCTGAAGAGCTCCCCTGTGCCCTACCAGGACCACGATCAGCCCCCCGTGCTCAAGAAAGAGCGGCCCCTGAGCCAGACCAATGGGGCGCACTACTCCCCGCTCACCTCCGACGAGGAGCCAGGCTCTGAGGACGAGCCCAGCAGCGCCCGGCAAGTCCGGGGTCCCGTATGGGGGCAGGGCCTGGCAGCAGGGGCAGGAGGCGTGCACTCACCATGTGTGGGTGGGGAGGGCCAGCAGACTCCGAGGAGGTGCCCTGGAGGGGAGAGAAACATCTGTTTTGTGAGGGGCCTCCCTGCAGGTCCTGAGCTCTGTTCTGGGCAGGGCTGGCCTCCTGAGCCATTCCGGGTGGGATCCTGGCACACGAGCAGGGATACTGGTTAGAAGAGGTCAAGCTGGCCGGGCGAGGTGGCTCACCCGTGTCGTCTCAGCACTTTGGGAGGCCAAGGTGGGGAGATCACCTGAGGTCAGGAGTTCCAAATCAGCCTGATTAATATGGAGAAACCCTGTCTCTACTGAAAAATATGAAATTAGCTGGGCGTCGGGGCACACGTCCGTAATTCCAGCTACTTGGGAGGCTGAGGCTGGAGAATCGCATGAACCTGGAGGCGGAGGTTGCAGTGAACCAAGATTTCGCACTGCGCTCCAGCCTGAGCAATAAGACAGCAAAACCCTGTCTCAGAAAAAAAATGCCAAGCTGAGTAGGAGCTGGGTGCAGCAGGAGAGACGTGTGAGCAGTGAGGCGTTTGGGGCTCGTCTGCACGCCCTGCTCAGTGTATCACAGCAGCTTTTCCAGATAGAATTCACCTATCGTGTCCCCCATTTAAAGTGTGCATTTCAGAGGTCTTTGGTATGCCTGCGTTACCACTGCTGAAATCCAGAATCTTCCATCCCCTCTGAAGACAATCTTATCCCCTTGAAACACTCCCTCCCCATCCCCTCCCGAGTCCCTGGCACTACCCATCCTACCTTCCGTCTCTGTGACTCTGAGGGCTCAAGGGACCTCCTGGGAGTGGAATCAGAGAAGGTGTGTCTGGGTCTGGCATCTCTCCCTGGTCCTCAAGGTGGCTGGAGGTGCCCTGCCATCCATCTGCCCGTTGCTGGGCTTGCTGTTCTTGGCGGTTGTGAGCGGTGCTCCTGTGGCCGTGGGTGTGCGTGTTGTGTTTGAAAGTGAGTTTCCAGGTGCCTGGGCGGAGGAGCTGCGTGGCCCAACCCTCATGCTCCTTAGCAGCCGCACCATTCCACCTGCCGCCACGGGCACACGAGGGGCTAAGGTCCCCACATCCTCGCCACGCTGAATTTCTGTGTTTGATTCTAGCCATCCGAGTTGTTTCGAAGTGGTGTCACATTGTGGGGTTTTTGTTTTTTTTGAGATGGAGTCTTACTCTGTCGCCCAAGCTGGAGTGCAGTGGCGCAGTCTCAGCTCACTGCAGCCTCCACCTCCTGGGTTCAAGTGATTCTCCTGCCTCAGCCTCCCGAGTAGCTCTGGCTACAGGCACGTGCCAGCACCATGCCTAGGTCATTTTTTTGTTTTATAGAGATGGGGTTCTACCATATTGCCCAGGCTGGTCTGAGACTCCTGGCCTCAAGCAGCCCGTCTGCCTCTGCCTCCTGGTGTGCTGGGATTCTAGGCGTGCACCATCGCGGCCAGCCCTGAGGGCTCTTGGTGGTGTTTTGAGTTAGTTCATTTTGCTTTGCTCCTAACACGCATGCCCGTTAAATAGAAAACATCCTAGCACGTGGGTGCCCTTCTTTGCACTGGGATTGCTCAGCTTAGTGTTTGCAGAGTCTCTGGGAATTCTGGTGTCCCTGCTGTGTTCTTTGGACACTGGATGAAAGTGGCCCCATGAAGTATGTGGGTGGACGTGGCTCTGCATTCCGGCCTGCGAGGCGGTGGCATTGTTTGTCCCCTGAGGCACTGAGGTCTGGAGGGGCAGGAGAGGGAGGTGAGAAGAGAACTCTGTCTGGACGCGCACGCTCCGTGTGCTGGGAAGTGGCTTTTCCCATTCAGCTGCCATGCCCGAGCTCTTGTCCCCTTGTCCCAGCAGAGGCCCTGGAGTCTCTGCCAGGACAGTGCCCTTGTGGCGCAATGGGGGTGATCTCAGGGCCCAGCTGCACAGTCCGGGCCTGACCCAGGGTGGCCGTGTGGATCCCCCACCCGGCCCGGATGCTGCTGCTTGTCCCCCGTCTCCCCACTCCGGCTGTTCGTCAGCATTTGCATCGCTCTTAGTACGCGACGCACCTGGGTTTCAAGCATTAATGACGTTTCTTTCTCAACAGAATTGAGAGAAAAATTGCAACAATCTCCTTAGAAAGCAAATCTCCCCCCAAAACCTTGGAAAACGGTGAGTAACAAGTGCTCTAGGACGTGGCCAGGCCTGTCCACGCGGCCGTGTTGCTGTTAGTGCTGCTGGCCCACCTGCTGGCCCGCCGCGTTGCGTCCTGCGTGTGGCCAACACTGGGGGCGCTGGGCTTCTGGAACTGTTTCTCAGAGGCCCTCACTGCAGCCCAGGGCCTCCGTGCACACGCCACACTCTTGCAGTGGGTGCTTACCTGCGGGGGTTACCTTGGGTACGTTGCTCTTTTTGGACACTGGCCTTCCCCTGAGACATGCCTGCTCTCATCTGTTGTGCCTGCGTCCGCTGTGAGGTCCCTGGCCTGCTCAGGGTTGGCCCCACCTTTCCCCCCAGAGCTAAGGGTGAGCTCATCCTGCCCAGGCTCCTCTGACACCCTCTTGAGCTTCCTCGGTCCTGTCCCTTGCCTTCAGGTCCCATCCTGTCCCATCCACTCCCGTCTCATCCTGTGTTGTGCCCCACCTGTCCCGTCCCATCCTGCCTGTGCCATCCTGTCCCCCCTCGTCCCCCTCCCCTCTGTCCCGCCCCAGCCCGGCCTGCTTGGCGTCTTGCATGTCTGTGGCAGCTCTGTCTATGCAGTCACTCGTGCTGCGGCAGCAGCCCCGGTTAGCCCCACGGCTTTCCTCCCTGCCAGGTGGTGGCGTGGCAGGAAGGAGGCCAGCGCCCGCTGGCGAGCCCGTCAATAGCAGCAAGTGGAAGTCCACCTTCTCGCCGATCTCCGACATCGGCCTGGCCAAGGCTGCGGACAGCCCCTTGCAGGCCGGCCCCACCCTGAGCCAGAGCTCCCTGTTTGCGTTCCGGCCCTCCCTGGAGGAGACCCCCGCCGATGCCAAGCTGGCTTCCCACCCCAGGAAAGGCTTTCCCGGCTCCCTGTCAGGGACCGATGGACTCAGCCCCAGCACCAACCCTGCGAACGGCTGCACCTTCGGTGGGGGCCTGGCCGCCGAGCTGAGTTCACACAGCTTCAGTGATGGTGCTTCTCTCCCCCACAAGGGCCCCGAGGCGGCCGGCCTGAGCTCTCCGCTGGGCTTCCCCTCGCAGCGCACAAAGGAGGCCTCGGACGCCAACCCTTTCCTGAGCAAGAGGCAGCTAGATGGCCTGGCTGGGCTGAAGGGCGAGGGTGGCCGCGGCAAGGAGGTCGGGGAGGGAGGCCTGCCACTGTGCGGCCCTGCGGACAAAACCCCGCTGCCCACCGGCAAGGCTGCCAAGGCCCGGGACCGCGAGCTCGACCTCAAGAACGGCCACAACCTCTTCATCTCTGCGGCCGCCGTGCCTCCCGGAGGCCTCCTCAGCGGGCCTGGCCTGGCCCCAGCGGCGTCTTCTGCAGGCGGCGCGGGGTCCTCTGCCCAGACGCACCGGCCCTTCCTGGGCCCCTTCCCTCCGGGGCCACAGTTCGCGCTGGGCCCCATGGCCCTGCAGGCCAACCTGGGCTCCGTGGCCGGCTCCTCCGTGCTGCAGTCGCTCTTCAGCTCTGTACCAGCCGCCGCTGGCCTGGTGCACGTGTCGTCCGCTGCCACCAGACTCACCAACTCGCACGCCATGGGCAGCTTTTCCGGGGTGGCAGGCAGCACAGTTGGAGGTAGGCAGGGCTGCGGCCCCCGCGGCGGCCCCTTCCTTTGCAGGTGTCCTGCCCTGCACTCTGGGGCCAGGAGCTGAGCAGCTGGTCCCCACCGTCTGGGCAGAGCCCAGAACTCCAGTCCTGTGGGGAGAGGTCTCCCCGAGTCCGTGTCTCGGGTTCTCTGGTGATAACAGCGTCCCTCTTGTTTTCAGAAGGCCACGGTGCACAGGGTCACCAGGGCATTCCTTTCTCCCGTGGAGGTCACCTGTTAGGTGTGGCCGCCCGGGCTCTGGGAGCTCGTGTTGGGTAAGAGCGAGTCCCCGCAGTGCCTGCCCAGACCGGTCGGAGGAGCCTCGGGGCTGCTGCCTGCGCTGGGTGCCGCACGCCCGGCGCTGCCATCCGCTTTCCCTTGTGAGCCTCGGGGCTGCTGCCTGCGCTGGGTGCCGCACGCCCGGCACTGCCGTCCGCTTTCCCTTGTGAGCCTCGGGGCTGCTGCCTGCGCTTGACTGGAGGCTGCCGCCTGTTGAAGCTGCCTTTTTCTCTCCTGTTTGCAGGTGTCTTTAACCACGCGGTGCCTTCCGCCTCTGCTCATCCGTTTGGAGCCCGTGTCGGCCGTGGGGCTGCGTGTGGCAGTGCCACGCTGGGCCCGAGCCCGCTGCAGGCGGCGGCCAGCGCCTCGGCCTCTTCCTTTCAGGCCCCGGCCTCAGTTGAGACCCGGCCGCCCCCTCCGCCTCCGCCTCCCCCGCTGCCCCCGCCTGCGCACCTGGGCCGGCCCCCCGCAGGGCCTCCCGTCCTCCACGCTCTCCCACCTAACGCCGCCTTGCCTCCTCCCCCAACGCTGCTGGCCTCTAACCCTGAGCCCGTGCTTCTGCAGAGCCTCGCGTCCCTCCCGCCTAACCAAGCTTTCTTGCCCTCCGCCTCTGCTGCCTCTCTGCCGCCTGCTAACGCCTCTTTGTCTATCAAGCTCACCTCCCTCCCGCACAAGGGCGCCCGCCCCTCCTTCACAGTGCACCACCAGCCCCTGCCCCGGCTGGCCCTGGCACAGGCCGCGCCCGGGATCCCGCAGGCCAGCAGCACAGGGCCGTCTGCTGTGTGGGTGTCCCTTGGCATGCCGCCTCCTTATGCCACGCACCTCTCAGGGGTTAAGCCGCGATAAAGACCTTGCTTTAGCTAGCAGTGCGTATTGTGTAAGGTAAGGCCAGAGCCCCGCGCGGGGGCTCCCTCCAGACACTGAACTGTCCTTCCTTTGGCAGAGAAGACGGCCACAGGGCTCGGCAGAAGGGCCAGGGGTCCTGAGGAGGGACGCGAGAGGAGGGACTGCAGGATGGGCGCCAGCCGTGGCTGGCGTGGCCTGAGCGTGTTGGCTTCTAGCTGCCCACAGCTGGGTCCCTGTGGTGATGCCGCAGGACTGAGGCCAGCCCTGGGGGCAGCTGTGCCAGCCCCTGTGGGTGACGCTCACAGGGTACCATGCCAGGGATGGGTGCAGCCCCTCAGGGGACTGGGAGTGGCCTCCAGGGCTCCATCTGTACCAGGCCCAGGTCACTTGGAACAGGTGGCATGGTGCAGTACCAGCTGCAGAGGTCCTGGGAAGCCAGGTTGGCAGGACAGACACCTCTGGTCAGGGCTGTCGGGCTGGTCCCTCGGATACCTCATAGGGAGCCGGTGAGGCCCCTGGTGTCCCACCTGCCTGGGGGGCTGATGGGTTCCCGGTGGGGCTGAGAGGCAAGCTCTGTGCCCTGTGAGAGGCAAGCTCTGTGCCCTGTGTGATGGGGCTGCCCCCGGGACACGGCTGATGGTGGCCGCACTGCTCTGTGGCTGTGGCCGAAAGACGAGGGCTTCCAGCCGCTCAGATGTCAGCACTGAGGTGTACAGGCTAGTGTAGACAGTGCCCGCCTTTGCACCAGAGGAAGTGGGAGGCAGGAGTGAGTTTGTGGCCATGAGGCCTTCAGAGAACGTCCCGTCCACTCCTAGAGGTTGTGGAAACTGGCTGCTGACCCCCCCGAGGGCAGTTGGCCACCTGTGCCCTCCAGGGACGAGGCATGCCGGGCAGCACAGTACAAAGGTGCCCTCTGCTTGCCCCTAACCTACTGACTCTGGGGGCCCTGGGACACAGGCCTTCATGGGCAAGTCCACATCTCGCTGGGCAAGGAGAGGTGGACTGGGAGCCGAGGCGGAGGCAGAGGCGGGGGCGGGGCCGGGGCTAGTCAGCCTGGCCCTCCCTGCAGTGTACTGAAGTGGAAGTAGGAGCGGGCCTGGCGGGTCAGTGCGGGCACCTGTGGGCTGAACAGGCTCCTACAGCTCCCACAGCTCCCATAGGAGATGAGCTGCAGGTAGGGTGGCTGTAGTGGGACTTGGCTGTGCGTCTCTGGAGGAAGGCTGGAGCTTGGCTGGCGTGGCCAGGTGTCAGGCTCCCTGGGCCTGCTGTGGTTGGAGGGGCCGGCGCCCTGCCTGTCACGGTGCTGGCCCCAGGTGGCGAGTGTGCTCGTGGGAGGCCTCGGTCCCCAGCCCGGGTGAGTGTCGGGCTCCCCAGGCTTGAGGGTGACAGACTGCCCTTCCCACTGTGCCCTCCTGCAGGTAACTAGGATTTCTACCTCAACCGCGAGACCTATGCAAGGACGGTGTGGACCAACTGCGCCCGCGGCCCCTGCCCGCCGGCCTCCCACCCTGACGGCAGAGGCGAGGACGGGAGCTCCACTGTGAATCGGCGGCGCACGCCACAGGAGGCTGGGACTGGTCCAGTTTGTACTGTTGATAGTTTTAGATAAAGTATTTATCATTTTTTAAAAAGTATAAACAATTCTGACTTATTTTATTCCATCTAAGTGGTAAAAGGCAACTTATTGAGAAAATATAAAATATCTATATATGAGAGATCTATATAAAGACACGTGTCTGCAGGGCGGGCCCGCCAGCGGAGTCGCCGACAGCCTGCCCCGGTGCTATCTCGTCCCCAGGCCTGCGCCTGCCTCCGCCCGCTTGGTGCTGACTAGACGCTGACGACGCCGAACCCCGTCCTCGGAAACGCCGCCCGGCCGGCTCCCCCGACGACGCACTGCTCCCGTACCAAAGGCAGGCCCGCCGCTGCCACATTCCTCGGAGCCCCCCCGTGGCCTGAGCCCTTCCCGAGCCCCTGGCACCTGCCCTGAGCGCTCCACCCCGCCCCGTCACTGTGAACCCCCAGACTGTTCACCCTGCGGGGCCTGGCTGGCGCCCTTGCGTGGAGGGGCCCGCGCCGCCGTGCGCTGCGATGGTGCTGTGAGGACGGCAGGCGCCGGACAAGTGCATTTACTTTTGTATTTCTCGGCTTCCGTGGCTCGCAGCGTGTCCTGCGACGCGGGCAGGCCTGTCGAGGGTCCCCTGGTGTCTGTACAGGAGAGAGTCACACTAATGAGTGGCAGTATTTTATAGAGATGTGATAAGAATTTATAAATTTCATAGATTTAACAGCTTTTATTTTTAGATGGTATAATGCACAGTGAGGAAAGAAAAGCGAGGGAAAAACCTTATTTATTCAGTGTACAAAATGGCCGCAGGGTCAGCCCCCACCCCACACCCCTCAGTTGCACCCCCCAGTGGTCCAGACAGCTGCCCGAGCCTCTGCCTGGCCCATGTCCCTTCCTGTCAGGGTCCTGCCTGGCCTCTCTGGCCCTAGGCCCTGGGATGGTATCTGCCCCCATTCTGCAGCCTTGGGGGTGCCTGGGACTGGGCGTGGAAGGAGAGGGCGAGGCCGGGCTGTGACGGGCAGGCAGAGCCAGTCAGGTGCTTGTGGAGCCCCAAGCAGCCAGTGCCGTCTCTGCGCTCCCTGGAGGATGGGGTCTGGGAGTCCTAGCTCCCTGCACACGGGGCCCAGGCTGTCACATGCGTTGGGCTCACCTTCTCAAGTTGTTGCTGCTGTGAGGTGGCATCGGGCAGCCCTTCCCCAGGTGTCACAGAACCACCCTCCAGGGAGCTGCCAGCCCTGCATTCTGGTCCCCACCACGTTTTCCTACCACGTGGCTTCCAGAGAGGGAGCCGTGGAGCTCCTGTGGTTGCTGGGTAGGGCAGTCCTGTGGGGGAGGGCCTAGAAGACCCCTGCCTGTGTCTGGTGAGGGGGTGCTGCCTTCCTCTGGCCCCCAACAACCTGTCTCTCAGACCCCTGCCCCCCCCAACATAGCTGAGTTGTGAAGATGGTGCTCCAAACCTGTCCTTCCCACCCCCACGTTGGTGCTCTCAGCTTGAAGGTGCTGTGCCTCTCTGCCTGAGCCCAGCCTTCAGGACAGGCAGCCTGCTCCACGCCACCACAGGCCGGAAATGCTACAGGGCCGATGGCAGAGGAGGCATGGAGTCCCCTGGTCTAGAACAAGACACTCTTCAAACACTGTATCACTTCTGCCTCCCTCCAGGGGACAGTGGCTGCCGGGGTGCGGCTCCCGCCCACGCAGACCACGGTGTGTTTCGGACACACACTGGGCCTCGGAGCCACTGGCCCAGGCAGAAGTCTCCTTGAGCCCTCTGGGGCACGTGTGAACTAGCATGCTGCTGCCCGCAGATGCCCTCCTGTTCTGAGCCCTGGGCCATGTCCTCCTCAGACACTCCCAGATGGGGGTTGGTGGCGGTTGATAGTGGAGGCTGGTGCTGGTGCGTGGCCTAAGTGTCCACGGGCAGCTGGCAGGGACCTGTGCTGCTGCTGCTGACCATGGGCAGGTGGCGCCTGGGAGCGGCTCTTGCTCAGGAATTGATAGGAACCCTGGCGACTGGGACGCCCCCTCCCTGGCCCATGAGGCACTCGGTGACCTATTTAAGACTTGCCCCTTAATTTATCCGCCCCAGGACACGCCAGTCTGTTGTGGTCAGCAGGGCCCCCTCCCCCGTCATCAGCGGTCAGTCCCCGCCACACGCTGCTGCTCCCTGTCAGCCCTTGTCTGTTGCCCTTGGGAGGCTCTGCTGTCTTCCTGGTGAACTGTGTTTGGATTGCGCACATTGTCACGGTCTGCCCCTGGGCTGTGGGCGCCCCTTCCTCTGGGCACCCCTGCGTTCTGCTACCCCACCTCTAGACGCTGTAATAAACAGACCATTTTCACTTGGACCTGTGTGAACGGCAGCCTTTCTTCTGGGTGGCCTCGGGTGTCTCCTGGTGGCAAGTGAGTCATCGCTGAAGCGGGGGGATGCGGGGTCTGGGGGTGTTCCTAGCAGAAGCTCTGAGGGCCGACACCAGGAGGCCCCAGTCTTGGGGAGGCCTGAGCCTGACTGCATCAGGCTGCGGGCAAACTGCCTTTGGATGAACGCACAACTCTGCAGCCCCGATGACACCGGCAAAGCCCTCTGCCACATCAGAGGGACAAAACCAGCCCAGGCCCCATCCACACTCTGGGCTGGCGGGCAACAAATGCCAGGGTGGGGACCCCAGGTCACCACAGGACTTCCAACACCACACAGCGGCCCCGTTCTCCCGGGCCTGGGTCTCAGCCTCCACCTGTCTGGGCTCGGATTCCAGGCCTCCCGAGGGCAGGAGACCCAGCCCCGACCTCTCAAGACCCCGAGCCTTGCTTCCCTGGGGTGCAGACTCCCCAGCTGCCCCTCCCCTCCTTCACTGCACTGCCATCCACTGCGAAAAAGAGGTACCTTTATTTGAACAGGACAAGCACTTCCCCAGGCCCACAGCCGGGGCTCCTGTCTGCAGGAGAATTCACAGCCGGTGGGGGGAACTTGGCCCCCACACCATTCACAGCTTCATCTGGCCCTGTACATTCATTCTGTGCGGGCGGAGGGGCCACAGAGCCCGGGGGCCCACCAGACCCTGGATGCACAAAACTCAGGCGGGGCATCGTGGGAGGGCACACGTCCTGGGAGCAGCACGTAGCACCAGGTGCCAGGCCAGTCTGGTGGGTCCTGGGGCCCCGAGGAGGGCAGCTTGCTGGGCAGTTTCACAAAACACAGCGCCTGCCCACAGCCACCGGCTTCGGGCTTTGGGTGTCTCCAAACCAAAAACGTCCCACCGAAAATGCAGGTGTGAGGCTGGGTGTGGGGACTCGTGCCTGTGGCCCCAGCCTACTTGGGAAGCTGCGGCGAGAGGATCATTGGAGCCCAGGTCAAGGTCACGGTGAGCTACGGCGCCACTGCACACAGGCCTGGGCAACAGTCAGGCCCTGACTCAAAAAAAAAAAAAAAAAAAAAAAAAAAATCCAGGCATGGCCAAGCGACTCAGGGCTGGGCAAAGGCCAGTCCCACCCAGCTGCACGCCAGCCACCATGCCCTGCACTCATGCCTGTAAGCCACTCAGCTGGAACCTGGCCTCCTCGGATATGCCGAACTGCTCCAGGGGGTCCTGTGGGGTGGACGGATGGCCGTGAGCCAGGGCCGGAGGACTCCCTCTGCCACCCACAGCGCCAGCCTGGCCAACCGCAGCCCTGTACACACCTTGCCTGTCACCTTCTGGATTTCGTTCCTGTAGAAGATGAGGCTTCTCCGCATGAACTCGTAGCTGGAGAAGAGGGCGACACAGGGGTCAGAAGCCTGCTCTGCATGGCTGCTGTGTCCACCCCAGCTGTGCCCACAGCCACCTGGCCCCACCTGGCCCGACGGAGAGCCTCCATCCACTCCTGACACTGCTCCTCGCTGCTGCACTCGAAGTGATACTTCCTCTCGGGGTCCTCGACGAAGCCTGGGGACGGAGTACCTGCGTCGGTCCTGCCCACAACCCCTGGGGCAGCTGCATCTTGCCAGTGCCCAAAACCACCCACCTGTGGCCCCCACAAAGTTGTGTTCATGTCCTGACCCCCAGAACCTGGAGGAGCGTGGCCCCGTTTGGAAATAGGGCCTCTGCAAATGAACTAGTTAAAATGAGGCTGTCGCCGGGTGCCGTGGCTCACGCCTGTGAGAGGCCGAGGTGGGAGGACTGCTTGAGCTCAGGAGACTGTCTCTGAGCCATTTTAAAATAAAAATTAGCCAGGTACGGTGGTGGGGCCTTGTGGTCCCAGACATTCAGGAAGCAGAGGTGGGAGGATCGCCTGAGGCAAGGAGGCTGAGGCTACGGCGAGTTGTGATTATGCCAGCGCACTCCAGCCGGGGTGACGAGATTCTGTCTCAAAAATAAAATCAAGAGGGCGGCGGCTCACGCCTGTGATCCCAGCATTTCAGAGGCCAAGGCAGGCGGATCACCCGAGGTTGTGAATTCCAGACCAGCCTGGCCAACATGGTGAAACCCCGTCTTTACTAAAAATACAAAGATCAGCTGGGCGTGGTGGCGGGTGCCTGTAGTCCCAGCTACTCGGGAAGCTGAGGCAGGAGAATCACTTGAACCCGGGAGGCAGAAACTGCAGTGAGCTGAGATGGCGCTACTGTACTCCAGCCTGGGTGACAGAATGAGACCCCGGCACAAAACATAAAACGGGGTTGTCAGGGTGGCCCTCAATTCTGTTTGGCGTCTCTGTAGAAGAAGAAAGGTGGACCCAGACGCGATGCGGGGAGGACGAGGTGAGGATGGAGGCAGGGATGGGGAGATGCTTCCACAAACCGAGGAAGCTGGGAGGTGCCGGCCACCACCAGGAACTGGGATCGTTTCTGATACTGAAGCCGCCTGGCCTGTGGAATTTTGACAGCCCCTCTTGCGAACTCCATCTTTCCCCGAAGACGGGAATCTCTTAAAACCCAGGAGAGCCACACCCCTCTCACTCCCCCACCCCGACCTGGGGTTTCCAGCCCAGGGCCATACAACAGTGTAGACCCACGCTAATCACGGCAGCCGGGGAAACGCTGTGCATCACGGCCCGTCCGCCCCGTGGGTACAGCCTGGGCCCACAGGAAGAAAGGGCAGACTCTGGGAGGGGCCCAAGCTTAGGGGGACTTGGCAGGTGGGCACGGCGGTGCCCGCCAGGAGGACCTGACCTTGAGCTGGCCGTGGACAACGCACTCTTGTGTCTGGGGAGGGTGGCGCCAGGCTGGGGACACAGAGGAGGCCTTGGGCGCCTGGGGAGGGGACAGTGCGGCGCCGCGGGTGCCCCGGGCTGCTGGAGGCGCCCCTGGCCTCCCCAGCCGCACTCACTGATGGAGAAGGTGCCGGGCTCCTCCCGGGTGACTCTGCAGCGCTCCAGCAGCAGGGCTCCGACGGGCTGCAGGAGACACGGGCGCCGGGACGCGGCGGTGAGCGCCCAGCCTCCCCGGGGCGCAGCCTGGCACCCACCCGCGCGCCCGGGGCGCCCCTACCTCGGCCTCGTCTGTCCGGAAGTAGAAGAGGAAATTCACCACGAGCTTCACCAGCCGCCGCTTCAGCACTGCGAGCACAGCGCACGCTCAGGGGCGCAGGCGGTCCCCGCCCGGATCCCCACCCTCCACCCCCAGCGCCCTCACCCGAACCCCGGACCCGGTCTCCCGCCCAGGCCCGGACCTCGGTCCCCGCCTCCAGTCCCTAGCACTGTCCCGGTCTCCCGGGTCCCGCTCACCGCTGCCCTTCTTGGGGCCCCTCATGCCCAGCTCGGCCGCCATCTCGGCCGGCTGCCGGGACAGCGCCTGCAGCTCCTTCTCGTTGTACCGCATTGTTCCGCGGGGAACGGGAACCCGTGCCACGCCTTCCCGGCCGCCGTCCCCGCTCGCGCCGGGGCCGGCGCCAAAAAGGTCCCAGGGCGCACACACGGAAGCACCGCTGGGGCTAGTGCGCCTGCGCGCCTTGGGCCGGCCATGCCACCCACCCCCGCAGGGTGGCGCTGGCGTCCCGGGGGGGGGGGGGCGTGCAAGGGTTGGCTGGGGAGACGGACCGTCGTTACTAAGTTAACTGAAATACACCGGACCAAGGTGGAACAAAATCAAAACAGCCCCGCGAGGGCTGGCGCCCCTTCTTAGAACGGCCAGGCGCAGGCGGAGGGAGCGATAACATCTCCCGAGTATCAGCCGCCCTCTCGCGAAAGTCCGCCCCGCGCGGCCGCAGCGGACCCAGGGGTCGTTGAAAGCGTTGTGCGCACGCGCGCTTTGTTTTCCAGGCCGCACTTTCAGACCCGCCACCTCCAGCCCTTTCCCTCGCGCCTCCGAACCTCCCGACGCGCGCCGCGGGGCGGGCCGGGCATGCGCACACGGGAGTTCCCGCCCCATCTGCCCCGGAAGTGCTTTCTTTTGCCCGCGACGCGCGTGCGCCGAACGAAATCGTGGCGGTGGCGGATCAAGGTGGCGATAGCGCGGCCTTGGGCTCTGGTGAGGGCGTCGGTCGACGGGGACTGGGGGTTCCCTGGAGGGGAGCGGACGTGGGAGAGAAGCGCTTGCTACGGGCCGCGGGCTGAGGGGCGGGCAGCGGGGTCGCGTCCCTTCCTCCTCCCTTGAGCGTCCGGCCTCGTGCATCTAGAGGCCCCGCGCTGGGCGGGCTGGCTCGAAACTCTTATTTCCAAACACCTGTTGGGGGGTCCGTACTCCGGACCTCACGCCTCTAATCCCAGCGCTCAGGGAGGCCTCGGCCGGAGGATCGGTGGAGGCCAGGAGTTCGAGACCAGCCTGTACAACATGGAGACCTCATTTCTACAAAAAAATTTTTAAAAACTAGCCAGGAGTGGTGGTGGCGCTTGTAGTCCCAGCCACTCGAGAGGATCGCTTGAGCCCAGGATGTCGAGACTGCAGTGAGCCATGATCTCACCACTGCACTTCAGCCTGGGCAACATAGCGAGACCCCCATCCCTGCAAATATTGTTTAAAAAATTAGCCGGGCGTGGCGGCGGGCGCCTGTAGTCCCAGCCACTCTGGAGGCTGAAGCGGGAAGATCGCTTGAGCCCAGGAGCTCGAGGCTGCAGTGAGCTGTGCTTGCGCCACTGCACTCCAGCCTGGGCAACAGAGCAAGATCCTGGTTCGTAAGATAAGAAATAGACAACCGAGACTCAGGGGTCGGATCAGGATCGCGGCCGAAACGGTCTGGGTCCGCTTTGTTGTAGCCCAGAGCGCTCCTGCATCCTAACCTATACCTGTTAGTTGACTGGGGCTCTGTGATGTAACTCCTCTCAGCTTCCGTTCCTTTAAAACGGGAGTGACAGCTTCACCAGGCCCAAGGCGAACGGAAAACCTTAGCTGGCCCCATTTTGCGGGTCACCCCAGGCAGCTGGATGCCTGCGACCGTTACTCCTGTGTGTCCTTGGGCAGCACCAAACAACCACGGGAGCTCTGGAAAATAGGTTGTTTGCTAGGTTTAAGGAGAGAATGGAGTTGCCACCAAAAACTCCCATCCGCTCAGTGTTCCAGTCCCAGGCCCCAGGACTTTCCCCAGTTCCTTTTTTTTGGGGGGGGACGGAGTTTCGCTCTTGTTACCCAGGCTGGAGTGCAATGGCGCGATCTTGCCTCACTGCAACCTCCGCCTCCTGGGTTCAGGCAATTCTCCTGCCTCAGCCTCCCGAGTAGCTGGGATTACAGGCACGCGCCACCGTGCCCAGCTAATTTTTGTATTTTTAGTAGAGACGGGGTTTCACCATGTTGACCGGGATGGTCTCGATCTCTTGACCTCGTGATCCACCTGCCTTGGTCTCCCGGAGTGCTGGGATTATAGGTGTGAGCCACCGCCCCTGGCCTTCCTCAATTCTTAAGTGGGTTTCCCTGGTCTTTTTTGAGACAGGGTCTTGCTCTGTCACCCAGGCTGGAGTGCAGTGGTGCAGTCACAGCTCACTGAAGCCTCAGGCCATGCTCCTGCCTCAGCCTCCTGAGTAGCTGGGACTACAGACACTCACCACCATGCCCGCCTAGTTTTTGTATATTTTGTAGAGACGGGGTTTTGTGTTGTTGCCCAGGCTGGTGTGGTGCTCCTGACCTCAGGTAATCCGGCTGCCTCGGCCTCCTAAAGTGCTGAGATTACAGGCGTGAGCCACCACGCCGGGCTCGGCTAACTTTTGTATTTTTTTTTTAGAGGTGGGGTTTTGCCATGTTGGTCAGGCTGTGCCCTGGTCTTCCTGGACTGATCTGCTGATTTCACGTCAGGGTGGTTGACACTACCTCCCTCCCATCCACCCCCTGCACCTTCACCTTCCACCTCCTGGATGGGCGTCTGTCCTGAGCGGGAGTAGGTCCTTGGCTACGTTTTCTAAATAAGATGGAAAACGTTGTTGGTTGCTGAGAGAAGTAACATGTTCAGCTGGGCTTTTGTTTTGCACTCTTTCTTCCCCTAAAGCTGAGCAAGTTGCTTTTTACCATTAGCCTGCTTTGCTTTTTTTTTGGAGACAGTCTTGCTCCGTTGCCAGGCTGGAGTGCAGTGGCGCCATCTCGGCTCTGTGCAGCCCCTGCCTCCCGGGTTCAGGCGCTTCTCCTGCCCCCGCCTCCCCCCGTAGCCTGGTTTTCTTCTGCCTGTTTGTTTAGCTCCTCACAGAGCTCCAGCATCTCACACACCTATCAGTTGTATTTCACACAGGTTTAAATAAATCCGTCTCTCCTCACCACTTCCCTCCAAGACTCACGTGTCCCCTCCTCCAGGTGGGACTGGTTCTGCTCTGCCCTGGACGTGGGGCTGTTGCCCCAGAGCTTCCGGTCCTTGCTGCCCGGGGCCTGCCTCTGTTTCCAGCGTGGCCACCCTGTCCTCTCCATGAGTCAGAGCAGAACTTCTGGTGGCTTTTGAAGAAATAGATGATTGTTTTGTTGGTGGGGGGGGTGGCCCTTGATTGTCTGAAAATGAGTTTATTTACCCTCATAGTTAGGAATTTGGTGGGGTATAAAAATCTAGATTGAAAATCTGTATTCGTAGGCTGGGCACAGTGGCTCACGCCTGTAACCCCAGCACTTTAGGAGGCTGAGGTGGGTGGATCACCTGACTTCGGAGTTCAAGACCAGGCTGGCCAACTTCACGAAACCCCATCGCTCTAATAATGCAAGCATTAGCCAGCTGTGGTGGCGGGCGCCTGTAGTCCCAGCTACTCCCAGCTACTTGGGAGGGTGAGGCAGGAGAGTCACTTGAACCCTGGAGGCGGAGGTTGCAGTGAGCCCAGATCGCCCTGCTGCTCTCCAGCCTGGGCAGCAGAGTGAGAATTCATCTGAAAAAAAAAAAAAAAAAAAAAAAAAAAAGAGAGATGGAAAGAAAGAAGGAAGGAAGGAGAAAATCTGTGTTTGTTCAGAACCGTGAAGGCTGTTTTCAAAAGACGGGCGGCCCGCTGGTTTCTGCTGCGTGTTGTGTTCTGTCCAGCGGAAGCCTCGCGTTCTTCCTGGTGTGAGTTCCCGGCTTCCCCGTTTAGCAGGGTCTGTTTGCTGATCTTGGTGGGTCCTTGCTGTCTGGGCAGTTTGGTCTTTGAGTCCCAGGTTTTGTTTTCAGTTTTCTTGTTAATATTCTTATGTTGCCTCTTTGATAAGCTTTTTCCTGCTTGCTTTGTTGGGTGTTTTTTCTGTCCTCCCTCCAGAGCGTCATCTGGGGTCTTGCTTTTCCTCCTGTTTTTTCAGCCTTGCGCTTTTTGATGAAGGCTCCGTCTGGCCCAGCCTCAGACCCTGCTACGGGATTTCTGTTTGGATGATCCCGTCTGTATTTTATACGGAATCTTTTGTTTAGCTTGTCCCGTCTGTGTTTTGCTTTATTCTTTTAGAGCTCCAAGAACACTGATAGATTGTCCTGTCTGTGTTTTCAAGGGCTGCTTTTGGTTTGAATTCAAGTTGCTATCGTTCAGCGCCCCGATGCATCGGCTTCCCCATGACTAACAGAGGAGGGTGTCAGCGTCTCACGTTGGGGTTCCCGTCAAGTCTCTTTGTTCTCGAGGCGTGTGTTTCTCTTGAAGAACAAAGCGGCCGGCAGCTCTGTGTGAGCCGCTCCTCATCCACGGAGGCCTCCTACCCAGTGGCCCGGCGAGGAGTGGGGCTTTTCGAGGTGTGGGGGCCCAGAGTGTCAGTATTTGAGAATTCTTCCTCTGGCGCTGCTTCCCCAGAAAAGACTCCTGGCCTCCCCCTGGGCGGAGGAACCGCGGGGATTCCCACTGCCCAGTTGGCAGGCCCCTTGCTCTGCTGGGCCTGCCTCTCTAACTGCCGAGGGCCTTGTATGCCAGTTCTTCTGGGAGGAACGTTTTGATGGACTGCAGGGTGGTGGGGGATCGGAGTGTGTGTCCTTCCCCAGGGCGCTGCCCCACCTCAGCTCCCGAGGGGGACGGTGCGGTTGAGTGGCAGTGACGGCCAGGCTTGGGTTCGGACAGTTTCTGGTTTTTGGATCAGAGTTTATCATGTGGTGAGTGGTTGAGAACTGATCTGGGTTTCCGAGGGCCAGTCAGACTCCACAGGTGCTTTCCTGTGACAGCTGGAGCTGGTGTCCTGAGCCAGCCACTGGCCGCTTCAGTGAGAAGTGCCTGCGTGGACGGGTGCAGTGGCTCACACCTGGAATCCCAGCTCTTTGGGAGGCCGAGGTGGGCGCATCATGAGGTCAGGAGATAGAGCTCCTCTCGCTGTAACACAGTGAAACCCCGTCTCTACTAAAAATATGAAAAATTAGCCAGGCATGGTGGCACACGCCTGTAGTCCCGGTTAATCGGGAGGCTGAGGCATGAGAATTGCTTGAATCCAGGAGGCAGAGGTTACAGTGAGCCCAGATCATGCCACTGCACTCCAGCCTGAGTTCCTTTTCCAGGTCCGTCCAGCTATTGGGTCATTAGAACAT